AATTTCTGTTGCGCACAGCATTTTGGACAAACGTGAATGAAGGAAGGAGTATTATGTCTTTTTACATTTTTAATTCCAGTGAAAGTCTTGATATGGTGTCTCAAGCACTTAAGTCAGCACTTAAATGTGCAACATGCACAGATATGACACTGTTAAATAGAGAAGCAGATCCCCTCAGCAGGAAGTGAAAGAAACGTGCGGTATGTAACTCTGGAGAGAGGCAGTTGATTGTTGAGTCTCATTCCCAGAAGGGCTGCGAAATTAATCTACTATTAATCACGATCTGGATTTTGGTTTCCCACAATCAAAAAATGTGTGCTCAGCTCAGAAAACTCAGATCAGAAAAAAAAAATTCAGATCTAGGACAGAACCAATCATATGCAAAGAGAGCATGAGACTTGTGTCTGTGCCGCAAAGCAACACAACTCGCTTAACTAGCTGAATAACACCACAATCTGCAGTGCTGTGGTGCAGTACGACAAATGCAGGAAGGCCAAAAAGAGTAATAATGCTAACGTTACCTCGCTGAATCCCCGTCCTCCCCAGCATCAGCTTAGACATCCATAACAGTGCCACTGTACAGTGTACAATTGTACCGTGGCAGCTATAAAAAATACAAAAAACAAGGCAGTGGATTCTTAGCTATCCAACTCCCAACGACAGACTGAAATAACCTGTGCAATCATTTTATTTAGACAAAGATATCTGTCCAATAAACACGGTTTCTTTTCGCTGCATTTTGGAATGGCACATTTTAGTTAGTCTATATTTAAGGATGCAGTTACATTTATATTTTGCTTGTACTGTATGTACTGAATTGAAGGTGAAGAAGAACCTTATTTTACCTAATTACTTTGATGCAAAAATGTGTTAACTAACAGGAATGCTGAACAACCTGGAAGTTAAAGCAGTGTTCTGTTTATTTAGATGTAAAGTGCAATAAAAATATTTATCCCTAAAGTCAATGAATAATCGTGATGCTAATATTAATCACAACAAGTATGACTTTCATTTTGGCCGTAATTGTGCAGCCCTAATTCGCTGGTCATCAAATACCAACACTTGAGAATGGTAGTCGGACTGAACCACAAACCCAAAGCGTGAGTATTTTACGACCACGGAATGAGACTCAACAACTAACCATCTATTGCCAGAGTTACATACAGTACCTTAAACTAAACATGTAGCAAATAAGTATTGGCCAGAGGTCATGTGAAACTGTTTCTTGATTTAATTCTGAGAGTTAATTTAGTTTAAACCAGTTGGCAACAACGATACACAGGTTGTACAGTATACCAAGTTACCCTCTGAATTGTAGTTCGATCCAGATGTGAGAAAGTGGCATATATTATGTTCACAGTGAGGTGCAGACTAAAGTTTGAAACAAAGATTGTCATTATTCCCAAGGTAATACTGCAAACAAAATATATGTATGTACAATAATCATTATTATTTAATCATGATATTGTATATCATAATCTGCATACTATTTTTTCATAGCTTCACAGCCCTATATGAACGTTATGTCATAAAAAGCCCTTTTTTATTCACAAATTCAGTTGTGGTTGGAATATCTTTCATTCTGGACAGCTTTACTTAAATTTTAAAGCTTTCCCTTAATTCTATACTGTTTTCATTTTAGGTTGAAATTAGTTACGGCCATAATACTGTATGTCCAGCATGTTCATTGAATAGTGAGTGTTTCTTCACCAAAGCAAGTGGATAGGGCAGGCACCACTTAAGATTTTATTCATATTCATCGCATTTATCAGAATTTTCTGTTCATTGAAATAATGCATTGTGAATTTTAACGATTAGCGTTATGCCTAGCTGTATGTAGCCTGGAAGTTTTTTAATTATCTGCTCTCTTTAAGATTTTTTCTACATCCACAAAATGACCATTTGTTTATCAGTTTGTCACAGTGTAACATTGAATTCATGAATAAAACTTTGTTTTTCTCACATGCCTCCACGGTGAACGGAGAATCCAAATATGTGAAAAACAAGTTTTCTTTATGAATGTAAGGTAACACTCAATGAGTAATTGATATACAAATGGTCATTTCGTCTGTTAAGTCTTCCTTTAAAGGCCGGAGCATTATGTCTTGATACCAAAAAGTAGAATTTCTGACTCTTGAGAAGTTAAAGCATTTGCTGGTGTCCCTAACACTTTGTAGTTGTGTGAAAACTCTTGTTTTACAGATGTGGTTAAATGACCCCCCTCTCTACGAACTAGTAGCCATTACAGTTGGGAATGACCATGAGAAAAGACTGCAGCCCCCTTTGATAGAGCTTGTGGTCCTGCCCTGTCCCAACGCAGTGTCGAGTGCCCTAGCATCATAGGCTTTGCTCCATTTTTCTGTGAATATTTGACTCATCCCTATGGGCGGCTTTGTTGGGGCCCATACCAACCTTGTTTAGTCCCACAGTGTTTTGTCCGCCCCACGGAGGCTAAGAAGGCAGCAGACGAGTCCAAGATGAGGTTTGCTCACATCGACGGAGACCACTTGACGCTGCTCAACGTCTACCACGCCTTCAAACAAAGTGAGTATCAGTGATCCCCTTGAGACGTGTTTCATGAATTAAATATAGTTGGAATACTGATGGGAAATGGACTGCACTTTTATAGCATCTTTTAGTCTACCGACTACTCAGAGTGCTTTTACACTACATTCTGTCACCCATTCACACATACATTCGCTCAAGGATACTTGGACATGCAGACTGGTGGGCGCTAGTTAGGAGCCCTGCTCATTTATGATTACCGCATTGCTGCGGAAAATGGGGGTCACCCTCTTGTGTCCTCCCAGGTCGCCCTGGTGAGCAAGTGGCTTCATTTTGAGTTGCAAAACCCCTTTAGCATTGTGAACTATGTTAGCAGCATTATCCACGCTAACACCGATAACAGTGCTGATGGAGCTTAGAGTGATAACATTATTAACAATGCTAAAGGGGGCTTGTGGCTCAAAATTGAGCACCACTGAAATGCTTGTTTTGGTCTTCACCTACTTGTGAGACAAATGTGTCCTTAGCTTGAAGGATGCCCCACTGTGCCCACAAGCTAGTCACTAACTTCGTCCGTTTGTTTGTCTTTAGGTTGGCAGGTAGTGACAGCGGGTTTGTTGAGCATTTTCACTGACTGGAACGAACAAATCCAAAACATGTTTATATGAAAAACAGTGCTTTGTGCAGCTTTAGATTTGTTGCCTGACACTTAATCAAATGTCTGAATCCTTGTTACACTTTTCCAGACCACGAGTCCAACCAGTGGTGCTATGACAACTTTGTCAACTACCGTTCCCTGATGTCTGCTGACAACGTGCGGCAGCAGCTGTCCAGGATCATGGACCGCTTCAACTTGCCGCGCCGAAGCACAGAGTTCACCAGCAGAGATTATTACACCAACATCCGCCGAGCGCTCTGCACCGGCTTCTTCATGCAGGTGAGCACAGATTAGTAAATGTAAGACACTGATCTAAAGATGGTTAACAGGATGTAACTTAAGTTTACACCAGAAATGTTTGTTTACTCACATTTATCTGTTTCTTAATACATGTTCGTAACCTGCAGGTGGCTCATTTGGAGCGCACAGGTCATTACCTCACAGTCAAAGACAACCAAGTGGTCCAACTGCACCCATCCACAGTCCTGGACCACAAGCCCGAGTGGGTGCTCTACAACGAATTTGTCCTCACCACCAAAAACTACATCCGCACTTGCACAGACATCAAACCAGAGTGGTATGTGTGCCGATATTTAAATGATTCCTAATACAGGTTCATAAAGACAAACTGAACTTTGCATTTGATCTCCTGACCGACTTACTCACGGCCTTCTTTCCTCTGTTACAGGCTGGTGAAGATTGCACCGCAGTACTATGAAATGAGTAACTTCCCACAATGTGAAGCTAAGAGACAGCTGGAGCGAATCATTGCCAAACTAGAGAGCAAGGAGTATTCCCAGTACTGAACAATAGCCAAGAAGTGTCCTGGAAAACAACTGCGTACTTTAGTTTTAGATCTTTCTGTATCATTGTATCTTAATGTTTAAAATTTGGCATTTTGATTTTTATATTTTGTTTGCTTTTTGTTTTGTTTCTTTTTTTTCCCATCACTGTTAATTCTGTAACTAAGTGTAATGTCAGATAAAAATATCAGCAGCAAATATTAGACCTGGATATGAAGATTTTCAAAAGGAATATCAGAGACATGTCATTTAGATGTGGTTGACTTTCCTTTAGGGGGGTGCTGAGTCATAAAAAATTGGCTTGCTTTGTTTCTTTAATAAAGGAGCTTTGACTTAATTTCTGTGTATATATTAATAAGTAAAGTTATTGCAGATGTTGTGCGGTCCCTATCGGAGTTGTTTAGCTTTTGTGTTGGGACACTGATTTAGCAGTTAACTTTGCTTGTTTAAATATGTAAATAAGTCTTGAGACTGGTTTATGATTAATTGATACACAGATCAATACCACTACTGTTACAAGTACACAATAGTACTGTTTCAGTATGCTAAATATCTGAAATAATATTGGTTCTCAGCAGCCACTTTATTACAGCACACTTTATTTAACCTGTGAGTTGGCATAATATGGATATGGCAGCTGCCATCTCCTGCTGGTGGCATCATTTGGAGCTCAAGTCTGCACAGTAGCAATCTCTTTAGTATTGACTTTCCACCCATGCACCCATCTAAACAATGCCAGACAGTGGCATTGATCTCAAGCACACTGAGTGGCACACATAGCTGTCAATTCTGATGCTAGTTATTTTTATACCATTAAATAACTCACTGAAAGCAAACTTATAAACAGAACCTTGAGCATACAGTAGTGTGATTTAAAAAAAAAAAACACCCAAAATGTGAGATACCATCTTTGGGGAAAATGTATTTGACTCGTGCTTTGATGTTTTAGTTTGGCCTTGAATGTGAGAGTTCAATCTTTAGATAAGTTTGCCTTATACATTGTCAGATATTCCACTAAAACAACTTTTGTCTGTCTGAGTGTGAAGTAATATGCATTTGTGGTAATAGTTAAAGCAGGAACCTCATTATGTGGTGAAATGAGTCATCATTTTCTCACATTTTGTTTAGGAAATACCTTTTTATTGCAATACAAAACAAAAAGTACCAATCAGTGGTGATCACATTTGTTTTTAAATGCCATACTGTACATAGATATTGCATAACACAGACTAAGGTGGTTACAGTGTTGTTATTTAAACATGTTGCAATCATTGATGTTCCAGCATTGTATTCATTGCTATGAAAAAAACTGTTGGTAGAGGGAGCCAAACTTCTTTAAGAACCATAGTCACAGGCGATAAACACACACCTATGAGCCCTCGTGGACTTAAGGCATACCACTGCCATCACGTAAGGTCTGTGAGGGCAGAGAGTGCAAGTAGCTAATAGACTGTCCTCAAATTTTTTTTTTCAAATGACACGATCTGAGCAGGGAACATCACAATTTGGGTAAACTGCTCACAATAACTGCTGAACTGCTACTAATTTAAGCTTAAACAGCACAGAGTTCAATTTCAAGGAAAAGTTTACCTTGCACCTCCTCAAATATCCTTCCAACCAACCAATATTTATTAAAGCTGAGGGTAATTTTACTTCAATCATATGCTGAAAAATGAATTAATTCAATACAGACTATACATACTGTCATTGTTTTTTCTTTGTTGTTGTTGTTGTTTATTTACTAAATATAACTGCTTGACTAAATAAGCACCAGTGACCGTCATCGCTACCACTGTTTTTCGATATCCTCTATGGTCTCTGGCAGGCACCGGTTGCGTGTCTCTGATAATGTTCTAGCCACTATTCCCCCCAGTGCAGCTGTAGAGCACAGGACGAGCTGGGGCAGATCCTTCCACACGTCATCCAGTAAAAGAATCAAAGGAGCCACAGCAACACCAAGTCGACCCATGAAGGAGTTGAAACCCATACTACTCTGCCTAAAAACACACACAGAGGAGATGAACTTCAGGGCTCTAAATGATGATTTTGCTCATTTTAAAATGGGAAAAAATACGTTCGTTGTTCTGCAGTGTTGACATACACCAATCAGCTGCAACACTGATGAGGTGAATTACATTGATCATCTCGTTACAATGCAATATTCTCTTGGAGTACCTTGGGTCCTGGCATTCCTGTGGATACCACTTGACATGCACCAAACATTGCAGACCAAGCACTGCCCCTAATGGCAACAGCATGCCCCAGTGGCAGTGGCCCTCCAAACAGGACAATGTTTCATGCCACACTGCTAAGCAATGACCTGAGGAACACGACAAAGAGCTCAAGGTATGGACCGGGTCTACAAATTCCTCCCAATCCCAATCTAATTAAGCATCTGTAGGATGTACCCGCATCCCACCTTGCAACCCACAAGACTCAAAGGATCCACGGCCAATGCGCTGGTGCCAGAAACCACAGGACACCCCCAGAGGTCCTGTATCAATACCTCAACAGTTCAGAGGTCCCCCCATGGATCAGACTTGGTTCTGACCTGTCAAGGCATGGACACAGGACATCACGTCCCATAGATGGCACTGCCATTGGGGAGCTCCTTTACCATGGAGGGGTTGACTTGGTCTGCAATGGTGTTTTGTGGGGTGGTGTGTGTCAAGTGGCATCCACATGAATCCCAGAACCTCAGGTTTACCAGCAGAACATTACATTGTAACAAGATGATCAACGTTACTCTCTTCACTTGTCAGTGGTTTTAATGTTGTGGCTGAATGGTGTTTTTAGGCTTTAGGAATGGGATGAATGTATAATTACCTCACTACAGTGGGATAGAGCTCAGAACTGTAGAGCACAAGTGTTGCAAAGGATGCTGAAGAAAACCCTTTTCCAATGATTGCCACCACTGTTCTGACAACAGACATATCTGAAAAAAGACAGCAGAAACTGGGGGATGACTATTATTGTTGCAGTTGCTGAATTTGAAGTAATTAAAATACTATAGTTCTTTATATTTTCCTGTGTTTAATGACCATAATTTCTGTTATTGAGACCATTAACAATTTAAAACAACAAAATAACCTAAACCTTACTTCTAAGTCTGTGGACATCAATGAACGCCTACCTTTAGGTACTACAATGTTGATTCCAAGACAGGTGCTGGCCATCAGCAAAGCTCCCACCTCAGTGCATTGCCTGCCTATCCTATCCAGTAAGTAGTAAACTGATAGTTTGGCTGGGAGCTCAATTAAAGCATAAGTAAACTGAGTGAGGTAGATGTTGAGCCCAAAGCCTGTGATGTTAAAGCTGATGCCATAAAATGTGATTGCCACACAAAACCTAGAGGAAGAGACATCACAATTGGTAGTTTGTTTAGATATAATCAGAATTATTCACCTGGATCTTTTAAAATGAGATACAAACATAATATTACAACCCAAAGGTCATTAAGCACAATGACATTTGGAATACAGACCACAATATACCAGTACGTAGGGCCAGTCTCCTCATTTTGGATGTCCGTATCAGATCGAGGTACGAATAGTGCCGATCTCTTTTCTCAGTCACAACAATAGTGGATAGTGTCTGAAACAATACAGAGCAGCATTATTCTCTGAACCACGTGATACACAACAGTGTATTAAGTGTATTAGAAATTCACTTAATTTACCCATCATCTGGAATATGCTGACCTCTGTTTTCAGTGTGTGAACTGAGTCCTCTGTTTGGTTCATCTTGGCACATTTTTTCAGATACATCTGAGCTTGCTCCAGCTTTCCATTGGCGATGAGCCACCTTGCCGACTCTGGCATCCACCTAATGTTGAAGGCAAAGATGTTTTCCCACTCCTGATGTATTACATAGCAATGAATGACATTTTTACATTGAAACAAATTTGACAAATGATGTGAACCTAACCTATGTATTTAACGCCAGTTGGGTACAGTGGCAGAACAAAAGTAAGTGTAAAAAAGCAAGTCCGCATTCCAATTACTATGAGCTGCCAAAAGTTTTAGAACTTTACCAATCTAACATGGGACTCCTATAACATTGTGTTCAGTGCATCGCAAGAAGAGATTAAAATGGATATTATTTCATTTGATTTAGCTACATTGCAGAGCTGCAACGTCCACAAGATTGGAGCAATTAAGGATTTTACAGCGACTCTGTCTAAAATTCCTTACGCAGGAGAAGAGAGATGTCTTGGCCTGTTTACCGACGGGATACGGTACGTCTCTGTTACATTTAACAGACATGCCGTACCTATGGCTACGCCGTCACATGGTCTGAATATCCCCGCCCATTTCTATTACAAAACGAAAGACGAATGTCCCCAGACTCCCATTCCGAAGTTAGGGAGGCTGGTCATGCGAGACTAAGTGGCTATCTTCTGCCAGCCAAGCAGCTAACTTGTGGTTTAACACTCTGCTACCGTGAATGGGGAAAAAATGATTTCATCATGCACCTCCTCTAGACTTTTGAAATGTTGCGTGACCCTATAGATAAAATCCCGCTCTTGAAACAAGTCATTTCGTGGTGGCTTTGACGCTCAAAACAGTGTATCCACTGATTTACAGATGTTTCTTTCCTAATGTAAGTCTATGGGGGAAAGTATTTTTGGGCTCTATGGCGTCATTTGATGGACCCGGATGTTATAATTCCATGTTTGGCCAGGTAAAATTGGCTTTAAAGCCTGGCGCTGTTCCAGGGGGCTTGGTTCAATCATAGCACTCAATGTTAAGCACCCCAAAACACAACCACCAGGGCACACTGTAGGGAACTTCTGTTAGTTTTAGAGTCGTACCTCCAGGTGATGATGGCCAAGATAAGAGGTGAGGTAACACTGACAATTAGCCACCTCCACTCAGTCACAAAGTAAGCAATAGCTGCAAATGCTGTGTTCCCAAACGTCCAGGATAAGCTGTCGATCACTCCAACCAGTTTCCTGTGCTTGATGTCCACCCACTCCACACCTGCAGAGAACAACACACAATCGAGAACATCGAACATGCGGCTGTTGTGGCAAGGACATTGCCTGATATACATGGGATGTCTGCTGGCTCTACCCAGTGAGCTACTGGGCACCCCAGAACAAAATTTAGTGAAAACATTCAGTGCAACCCCTTTTCTGTAGACCTATTGGTAGCCTAGGCATCTGAGGTGAACTCAACATGATACAGGGTATGCTTACAACAGAAATTAAAATGTATCATTACTGAGGACCGTTGAGACAATGATGATGCCGGTGATGCAAAACCCAGTGCAGAACCTCAGCACTGCGAACATCACATAGGATGTAGAGAAAGCACTTGCAACAGCAAAAAGCATTCCAGACACATATGACACCAGCAGCATGATCCTTCGGCCAAACCTACGGAAAGTCAGAAAGTTTCCAAATTTTAATCTTACTCATCCATGGAAATATTGGGTGATCAAAGTAGTCAAGTAGCCAAGCTGCGATACCTGTCACTCAGGCTTCCAAAAGTCACTGCTCCAAACATCACTCCAATAAAGAAGATGGTAGCAGTTGCTTTGTTTTTACCTCTTCTATCACACACCAGGTCCCACTTTTACAAACAAATAAAGAAGGAGATTAACTTTGTTTTAGAGGGCCTAAGCGTCTTCTCTCTAAAAAGCGTTGATGATTGTTACAAAGTACAAGAAAGGAAAGTCACCTGTGAGGTCAAAGTAGTCTTGAAGGTGGTGTTATCGTACACCCATCCATTCTGACATGGCACTGTGGGTACTTCAGTCATGTTGGAGGAGTTAAGCAGCAGATGATATTGAGGCTCTGCAAACATCTGACAGGAGTTTGGAGTCCCATCGTCCTGGACCGGAATACTAACAAGAAGCCTCTCTGCCTGGGATAAATTCCTAAAAAGTCCTCCATCATCCAGGGAGCTGATGTCGCAGTGGTGAGAGGGAACAGCCGCTATGAAGTTATTCAGCATGAAATGGCAGGGCATTGTGAAACGGCCAATAAAGCTGATAAAAATAATCATTATCTGAAATCTGCCAAATCCATTGATATTTTCTAGAATGTTCTCGAACTTCATTGTGGCCTCTCGCTGTGTGCAAAATCCTCTTAAGCTGAGAAAAAATACCTATATGTCCATGCAGTCACACTGAAAAGAAGACGACAGAAAACCTGACCCTTAGATTTTGACATGGCAACCTTTGGCACCTTTCTCTAACCCAAGGTCTCCTGGTTTACAGCTGAGATTGGTGAATGTTTCACCTCACTTAACCACTATAATATATTTTGTCTGTCTGAGTGTGAGGCAATATATGCATCTGGGGTAATAGTTAAAGCAGGAACCTCATTATGTGGTTAAATGAGTCATCATTTTCTTTTACATTTTATTTAGGAAATACCTCTTTATAGCAATACAACACAAAAGGTATGAAACAGTGGATGTTTAATGCATGTTACATTTGTTTTTAAACAGCATTTTGTAGACAGATTTTGCATATGTAAGACAGACTAAAATGGGTACAGTGTTGTTATTTAAAGGTGTTTCAATCAGTGATCTTGGGCTACTGATTGCTATGAAGATGAATATTAAGCAGGAGATGTCTCGTCAGATGTCCAGACTGATCATCCTCTGAAACATAAAAAGTATAATCTTGTTATAACAGTTCAAAACTTAAAAATTTGGTTGGAAGTAAGGCCCAGCTGTCTGTTCCACATCTTCAGTGGTTTCTGGTAGACGGACATTTTGCGTCTCCAAAAGTAAACATGCTGACAGCCCTGCAGCAAAGGCAAGCAAGGTAAGAAGCAGTGCTTTATTTCTGCTCAGAATTCTTGGAAATCAGTTCTGAAGTCACCTATTTGACCAGTGATTTCAGACTTAAGTTCGTTGAGCATTTTCTGAATGTTCTCCTCCATTGTGTGAATGTCTTGGCGTCTTTTCAGTTTGGTCTTAGCACTTACGTTCAGCGTTATGGCTCCAGAGCTTAAATTCATGCCCAGAGATTACTATTTCCATACTTCTGCAAAGGTGAAAGCACAGGTTCCCTTTGAATTTAGTAATGAATCCATTCAGGGGTTGGAGCGACATCGCTCGTGCGTGACCGGAAGTAAAGTCAGAAGCAGTGCTGGGTAGAGGGAGCCACACTTCTTTAAGAACCATAATCAGATGGACACACCTACGAGGGACATGAAGGAGCTGTAACCCAATCCGCTTTGCCTGTGTGACAAAAGTATATTTTTTCAGGCTACAGAGAAAGCATTTCAATTTTGCAGAGGTTTACTGGTTTACTAATTCAAACATGGACAAATGTATAAATACGCGACCTTGGTTTTAAGCAGCAAACAATTCCAGACAATGTAGTAAACTCATTATCCAGAAAGGACCCTTGACAATGGTAACTGTTTGTATAAAATATAACCTCCACCTGTGCTAATAGAACAATGGCTACAATATAGTAACCCTCTGTGCAAAAACTTTCATCTGTTTGGTCATGTTTAGGTACATGTACATTTAACATTTTGCAGCCTTTAGAAAGCTACAGACTTTATAAAACTAATAAATTTAGCAACGAGTGTTCAGAAAAGGGGTTGCTGTTGTCTTAAGCTATTAGTGAAAGCCTTTTTTTTTCTAAGAAGACCCACTGAGGGCAGGATGCATCCCATGATGGGTGAGTTTTGACGAATCACAGGCTGTGTTGGTTACTGCGTCACTGCGCTGATCTCACAGACCTTACATAACAGAATAGCATGACATCCAACTATCCGTAGAACTGTGGAGTCTGGGCAGTGGCCGAAATATTAAGTAGGATGTCATCGGTGTAAATAAGTGTAATAAACAATGTGTAGAGGATCCTTTCAGCACACAGAAATGGGCAAGAAGTATTACGGTGTAATGCAGTGTGTTACATTTTACAAGCCTAGAGTACATAATCATCCAGTCCATGTGTAACCATTCAGTATGATTGCTTTCCACTGTCTGCAAAGTTTACAACTTACAAAACACTTGACTTATTTTCATGCTGTTTTTATTGTTGGTCATTGGTGCATTTTTATATATACTTACATATACACATAATTTTTCATATACTTGTGTATGAAGGTGACATCAGAAGAAAAGGAGCCTTGTGACCCTGAAAAAATAACAAGGCCCTTCTGCTGAGGCAGGACCTGTCCGCACTGCAGACACACCAAGCAGATGAGGCAGTCTAATTCCCAACTGGTGGGTCGTAATCCAAAAAATGGGTCGCTGATCCATTCTGAATGGACCGCAAGGGACTCGCAAATGTGTCATGTTTATAAAAAACCCCACACACTTTATTTTAACATACAGTGAATTTCTTGCGCAGAGCTTTTATTTTGAAGTGCCATATCCCTGCTGTAGAGTGAGTGACCACTTGAGGGAGACAGCAAACTAGCTCGACAGCATGGCCAAACACAAGTATGACACTGAATATATTAAATTGTATGGACCTTGAACTTGGCTGGACCAGATGGGAACCACTGGTCTTGTGCAATGTGTCCCTGTGTGTACAGTAATATATTCATGACATCACTGCAGCACGTAGCCCAGTGTGTCCTGGAAAAGAAAACATATACAACATGATTGTACATTACAGTGTTGAGCATGTTGGCCTTGAGCATGTTGGCCTTGAGTAGGTTGACATTTCTGCGTTGTCAAGTGGGTATCCTTCCTCAGTTTTTCTCCAGCGGGCTAGGCAGAACAATCTGCCATCTCAGATTGCCCCCTTCTCATATCATTCCCCTTTCTTGCATCCTTTTACCCTTTACCATCCACATGTTCCCATCTTTAAAACAATGCATTAAACTTAAGTCTGTCTCCTAGATTTTAACATCACCTTCTGCCCCCTCAGGTTCTTTTTTTTTTTAAGAAATATCTTTTCTTTATTCAGGAAACACAAAAATCAGTCATCAATCAGTAGTATTTGATCACATTTTTAAAGAAATGCACTAAAAAATTCTTTAAGAAACAATGGTTTGTTCATTACTGTACATTAAAACACATTATTCCCACTGATCTACCCTGCAACTAAACATGGAGGCCTTTTGGTTGCAATGAAGATGAGGTCCATTTAGAGTTGAGCTTTCTCGTCAGATGTGCAGATTGATCTTCTCCTGAAACACAAAAGACGTTTTTATTTTCTAAGACAACGCTCATTTATATGTTTCGATACAATCGAAATTAAGGCCCAGTACCTTGTTAGTTCCACATCCTCAATAGTCTCTGGTAGACGGATGTTTTTTGTCTCTGGTAGAAAATAAGCTGATAGCCCTGCACCAACAGCCACCAGGGAGAAAATAGTACTCGGCAAATGGCCCCACACTTCTTCTAGAAGCATGATCAGGGGGGATACAGACACACCGCAACGGGCCATGATAGCACAGAACCCCAATCCATTTTGCCTATGTAACAAAAAATACAACAAATTTGTAGCAATCAGGGAAATCAGTTTCAGGATACAACTGCGACTCCCTCAAGTCTTGTGCACTGGCTGATTTATAAAGACCTGATCAATGTGTCCAGCTAGCAAGATGTCACAGTAAACTCCGAGGCCTCTAGATATATATGCTGTTTGTTCATGTGCAAAATATAAGCTCCATATTAGACAGTTTACTGACCTCATTACTGTGGGGTAAAGCTCTGATGTGTACAGATATACAGTTGTAAAAGTTGCCTCGGAGAACATTTTGCCCAAAGCCCCCACAGCTGTCTGAAACAGCCCCTTATCTGAAAAGAAAAAGTTGTGAGAAGACATTATAACTCCACCTTGTATTAAATTTAAAGCCACAATGTCTAAAATTCCACTATTCACAACTTTGGCGACCCCCAGTGGCAGTTTTTGTGATCATTTACCTTTAGGGACAAACATGTTGCAGAATATACACAGTCCAGTCGTAAGAAGTGTTCCTGTTTGATTCAACCTTCGGCCAGTTTTGCTCAGAGAGAAAAAGATAAATGCTTTTGCTGGAAGTTCAATGGCTCCATAGATGAACTGTGTGAGATAAATGTTAAGACCAAATCCAGCGACATTCAAGCTGATTCCATAATACGTAAAGGCCACTCCAAACCTATCAACAGAGAGAGACAGAGAGACAGAGGACAAATTCATTTATCTTAAAAGTTACACATTTACCCCAGAAAACACTAGTTTCTGATTGGCTGGCAGGTGTCTGCAACAGGATTCTTCAATGGTCAAATGTTAAACCAGTAATCTCAATCAGTATGCAAGGAAGCTGTGGGTAACCATGGCATCAGTACTTTGTGTTGCATTACAACTGGACTGGATGTTGGAATGTACTTAACTAGGACAATACACAGTGTCTTGCTGTGCAAAGACTATCTGCCTGGTCTGTTATTTCAGGACACCTTACTGTTTCCATGATAAGTGCTATATCTAAATCTGTGCATTCCAAAGCACAGATTCATTCCTCAAACTTCCGGTTTCCCTTTTTGCGTTATTTCCTCTCACGCAGCCGCAGAACGTACGTGCTACTTGGCTGTCGAATGTACTGTCTTTGTAGTGTGTTCAAATGCAACTGACGCAGGGCGACGTGAGGCGACGTAGATGATGCAACAGTTGGCTTTCGTTGCCTCTAGTTCTTTGATGTCGGTTTGGTGTGTCAGCATCTTTAAAGTTAGTTGCTGCCAGGTTGAGCGATCACATATGGACAGTGCATTGTACACATAATACATTTTTCCAAGATTTAAAAGGTGAACATCTCAGTTGTTTAAAGGCAAAAACAAGGTATATACCAAACAATGGCAGTAAGTAGAGTCAGCCTCCTCATTCTGGGTGTCCTCACAAGGTCCAGGTAGGAATATTTCCTGTTTTCATTTTCTACAAGTATTACTTTGGACAGAACCTGTAGAGTGAAAAGGAAATGTTGATCATAGTTATAGCAGGTATTAATTTCTGACTAGATCAGATCATGTAAAAATTTGTACCTCAGGCTTTACGTCAGCCATGAACTGCTCTCTGCCGTTGGCTTCTGCACACTTGCTCAAGTAAAAGTGAGCCCTCTTGACCTTTCCAGTACTTATCAGCCATCTGGCAGACTCGGGGAGCCACCTGTGACAAAGTGCAGTTTGTAATATCACAGATTTTAAACTTTTTTTTTTTTTTCACATAAACTCCTAAGTGGCACCCGTGCCTTATCGAAACCAAAAGTCATGCTGTTAATAAGAATAAGGATCTTTATTCTGAAAGTTCACACGACTTGTTTGTGTTAGGTTAGCTTGGAACTGGAAAAAAAATTACTTAATATGGCTAGAGCTCAATTATTATTTCATCCTTACCACCAGGAAATCATTGCGAGAAACAGCGGGGTGGTTGCTACGGCAGTGAGGTGCCTCCAGTCATTCACAAAATAGGCCACCAAAGGTAGCACAGCAGTGCAAACACTCCAGTCCATGCTCATAAGAACGCCCACTGCAGTTCGATGCTTAATGTCCACCCATTCAATACCTGTAAAGAGCAATGATAATAAATCAAATCCATTAAAACACACTAGGCAATAGTTACGGTTGAGTCATTACGACTTTATCAACAAATCATACTTTTTTATGAGAAATTGTATCGACGTTAAAACAAATCTAATTGAACAGAAATGGATTTTATACTATATCTCAGTAAATATTTGTATGTTACTTTTTTTTTGTAAGATTAATATTGAAAAAAAGATGCTACGACATTAAACTCACAAAGGACGATGGTGATAATACTTATTCCAGACATTCCAAGTCCAGTGAAGAACCTCATGGCAGCAAACATGGTAAAATTATATGAGAAAGCACTTGCAAATCCAAAGATGGCAGCTGTCACATATGACACCAGAAGCATGATTTTTCGGCCAAACCTGTGTGACAAAATAGTTATAGATTAATCTGTACAATAGGTCCGTGGTTCTCAACTGGTCCAGCCATGAGGTCCAGATGTCCCCTTTGTCATTAGTTCGAGGTCCCACAGTGTAATATATTCAGCGTCATACTTGGATTTGGCCATGTGGTTGAGCTAGTTTGCTGTCTCTGTCAAGTAACTGTTGGTCAGTCTACAGCACAAAACGGCACTTCAAAATAAAAGCTCTGTGCTGGAAATGTACCGTATTTTAAAATAAAGTGTTACTTGAAACATTTGCAAGTCACTTGCGGCCCATTCAGAATGGACCTGGGACACACTTTGGGACCGTGACCCACCAGTTCGGACCCACTGGAAAAGGTGTGACAAAACATTTTTACAAATATATTCCTTACATAGAGTCCACTGTGTGTAGAATTAAAAGTAGTCATTAGATGGTCGATGTGCAGGTTAGGTTTGGGTTAAAGGGTACATTTTTTGTTTGAGATAAAGGTTAGACATAGGGTCAGGTTAGGTGAAGGGTTTTTATAGCCTGTGAAGCTGTACTTAGTAACACTTTCTGTACATTAACATTTAGTCAGCCGATAGCTGAGTTTTAACTTTGAACTTTCCAAATAAGAAGTACAAAGTTTGCTTCTGTTTTGGTGCATTTATGTTTGAGCAAACTGGACAAATTAAGCTTCTCTGTCCTGGAGTGCACTGTCTGTCCTCATCAGACCAAGTCTCCTAGTGTAGCTGCACTGGCTGTATTCCACACTCTCCTATGCATAATTGATGCCTCAATGTTTGAACCCAATTTTTGATTCCATACAGGTGTTGTTAGTAAAATTTGGCAATGGCGAAAAACAGACATCAGATGATATACCAAAGCACAACCCTGTGTCTTAGAAATTATGTTTGTATGTCATAAAACTGCTTTCTTAAACATGTTTCAGCAGTGTAATCACTGCCTGGGTTATGTTCAGACACAATGCTTCTTTTAAGTTATGAAACACTACATTCATGTACCACGTAGGCTTCACAAGGAGGATGGGGGGCATACAGAATGCAGGACCTTGGCACCAGAATCTTAGGTTTGCACCCAGACTCCTCTCTTAGGTTTGGGCAATGAAGGCACTTTGGTTAAAGTGAGGGAAGGATAGTAATTTTGGTTTAGTGTCATTTAAAAGGTAATAAAGTGGCAGTGATGTGGTCACTACAAGTGGATACTGTATTGCAAGATGGCATAATTTGGTGGAAAACAACTGAAATACATTGTCAGTGAACATTTTGCTGGTACGTTCAGTATGGTTCAGTAGCAACAATTCCTCATTATGTAACAGAAAGCATCATTTGCTCTGCTTTATGTTTCCCTCAACATGTTTGCTGTTTCAACTTGGTTGAACTTACTCTATTACAACAGTTATCATACTAAAGCAAAAACACATTTCAATGTATAAGTTTCTCTTAAAGTTGTGCAATTTAACCACACAGACCCAAAAATGTCTGGTCGAAGAATGAAAGGCATGTACACCTGTCACTAAAGTAGCCAAACACTGCTGCTCCAACCATGACCCCCATGAAGAAGATAGTGGCTGTGGCTCTGTTCACTCTTCTTTTATCACAAACCAGATCCCACTGTGAGGGAAACAGACAAGAGACAAAGAAAAGTAACATTCAAATGGCTAACTTGGGATTTGTATCACTTTTGGATTAGTTTGGAATAAACATTCACCTCTGTGGCCAGAGTAGACCTGAAGGTGGTGTTGTCATATACCCATCCATTCTGACACGGCACTGTGGGTAGCTCAGTCATGTTGGAGGAGTTGAGCAGCAGATGATATTGAGGCTCTGCAAACATCTGACACGAGTTCGGAGTCCCATCCTCCTGGAGTGGAACACTAACAAGAAGCCTCTCCGCTTGGGATAAATTCCTAAAAAGTCCTCCGTCATCCAGAGAGCTGATGTCGCAGTGGTGAGACGGAATAGCCGCGATGAAATTATTCAGCAGAAAGTTAAAAGGCAAAGTCATACGAGGAATTACCATCAAGAGGATCGTCTTTAATTGGAATCTACCAAAGCCATTCAGCTCTGCCAGCACGTTCTCAAACTTCATCTTCAGAATAAATGATACAACACTTCCAGTTTGGAGTGAAGTTCAGACAATGATATCACAAAGCACACAAGATGTCAATTTAAAAGTGGGACACTATCCTGTTGCACACTGTTATATTTCATGGGTTAATGGTCAGCTAAAGACAATGTGTCAATGTGCTGTGAGGTTGTACAAACACTTGTATCCACGTGACATGGGTATGCTCCAAACTTTTATGGGTTCCTCCTGGGCCCTTGCTACAACCACTTAAACTGTGAACTAAATCTACCTTCGGGTACATATAAAGTTACATTACCTTAACCTTTCACCATGTTTCATGAAAAGTACACTTTCGGTTATCCATCTGACAGACAAACAAACGGACCTACTGAAAACACAACACCCTTAGCAGAGGTAATAATTTGCCAGTGACACTGTGACACCAAAGTACCTTCCTGTTGATACTGTACATGTCCTGAAGCATCGCAATACCCCCCCTTGAAAAGCCAATTTAAGATTTACCTAATACTGGGGATGATGGGTTGTTGTCTCATGATTGAAAATGTCTGATTGTGGAAGAAAATTAATTTGATTCCTTAAAAATTGTAGTGGGGAAGATACACAAGATCTAAGGTCCATGACAAAATCTCTGTAATGTATTAACTATTTGATGGATTGCCATGAAATAAAGTACAGACATTGACTGACTTGGTGATGCCCTCATGATGACATTTTGTTTCTCCACAACTGTTGGATGGGTTGCCATTAATTGGTTGGTTTGGTGAGTTAACTTCATTGCCATTACAATAAACACTGTAAGGAACCTTTCTTGGTTAGTTTCATCGTGCAGGACCAGTTGCACCCCTGGAAACTTTTCATAGGGGTGGTCAGGTGAGGCCACTGAAAATCTTGGGGTGGTATGCCTGGAACAAATGCCTTACTTTTAAGACAAGACCAGACAAGACGAGATAACTTTATTCTTTATTCTCTCAAAAATCAAAGTCTTATAAAAACAATAGTTTTCCTGCAGTCATTCTGTGTTCATTGCCTGTATGGCATAGGGAATAAAGGACTTCTTATATGTGCTCCGACTGGCTTTAGGGACCCTAAATCAACGCCCAGACGTAAGCAGCTCAAACTGTGAGTGTGATGTTATACTTACCTACAAACATAATATTAACCCTGATGTTTTACTGTTGTAGTATACAAGCTAGTTGAAAACCACGTCATTATGACAGTTAAGGAGTCCCATTTGCCAGCGATTGTATCAGGGTGGCCATGGCCCCTTCCTGGCCACCCCTTGGCAGTGCCACTGTGAAGGACGGGAAGGATATTTAAGGTTATTATGGTGACACCGGTGACATTTCCCAAGCAGCAGTGAAACCACTGTGAATAAAACACATTTGTAACAACTCATAATGTAATCACCACACATACTGTAATAATTTAAGTGCAATAAAAGCTCATAATGTAATAATCAGCACATAATGTAAGAAAGCCATGAATGCATAACATTTTGTGCATAGTTTAATAAGTTAATACAGTGTATGAAAGTATTACATTTTAAACTAAGCAAATAATTGTTGAGTAACATGATAAATTCAGAATATGGTGTAATAGTTTTAAAAGCGAGCCCTCATTTTCTTCTTCAAGCAAAGGTACCCTTCTTGGTTTACAAGGAACAAGTGGAGTCCTTATTATGAAGCACCTGGACTTTGTCTGATGATCTAGACTTGAAGACACTTTCATCAATCAGTTCCAAACTGATGAAGCCCCTTGGATGTGTGACAGAGCTCAGGACTACAGACTACAGTGACCTGGACAAATAAGAACATTTACAGGGACAGAGACTTTAGTACACTTGGTGATTCTTAGCATGTGAAATAGTTGTTCCCAGAGGTGGGTAGTAACTAGTTACATTTACTCAGTTACATTTACTTGAGTAACTTTTTGGATAAATTGTACTTTTCAGAGTAGTTTTAATGCAAAATACTTTTTACTTTTACTTGAGTTATATTGTTTTAAAGCAACAATACTCTTACTTGAGTACAATATTTGGCTACTCTACCCACCTCTGAGTACATAATTACATATATAAATATATATATATATATATATATATATATATATATATATATATATATATATATATATATAAAAGAATATATTTGTGTTTCTTGTGCCTTGATTTATGTTATGTTTGTAAAGATTTAATTTATTTAATTTATTTTTGTTTTAGTTAAAGGGGTATCGTTTAAAATACATGAATTTGCAGATTATTATTTTTGATTGATTGATTACGTTCATGTTCTTATTTTACAAATAAATCAGACGTTACTCAACAGTTACTCAGTACTTGAGTAGTTTTTTCACCAAATACTCTTTTACTCTTACTCAAGTAATTATTTGGATGATTACTTTTTACTTTTACTTGAGTAATATTGTTCTAAAGTATCAGTACTCTTACTTGAGTACAATATTGGCTACTCTACCCACCTCTGGTTGTTCCATACTTAATAATTCCATGTACTTTCAATGTTGGCTATCCCATGCAGCACACTGTTTAATAAACAACCTATAAAACTGTGTCTCTTACTTTGGCCACTAGGTGGCTCCTTTCAGTGGTGATGTATTTCATCTTGCACAATGGAGAAGTTCTGCCTCTCAGAAAGAAGTCAACTTTAGCTCCTTAGCATTTGAAGGCAAATTTAACCGACTGAATTAAAAGTGTTGGTAACACTTTATATGGATAGTCCACCCACAGGTATTTTATAAAATATCTCTAACACTTCATAAGCTTATTAGATGAGATTCAGCCTGCATGGCAATTAACTACATATTGTCAGAATAATTAAGTTTAAAGGTCTAGTTTAAAGGTTCATTTGGTTGCGATCTGCAAACTCACTACTAGATGCCACTAAATCCTACACACTGGACCTTTAACTTGAACTATTCACTCAACCTATGCTGCATAGTTGGAGTGAATACTATAAGTTCAGCTAAATTACTCTGAGAATATAGGTATGTTGATACACTGTCACATACTGTGGCGCCTATCCACCTTATTTTCAAACACGGAAGTAAATAGTGATCAACTTTCGTTTTTTTGTGCGTGACCTCCGGTCAGCCGCTTTCCCTTACCGGAGCTAACGGTGCAAGCTAATTTTTTTTCAATTGTCAATCAGTTAGTTAGTTAGTTAGTTAGTCTGTGTATTTTGTATAGATAACTGTGCCCACGTTTCCGTTATAACGAAAATTTATTCCCTCTAAACGCGAATAAATCGCACGTCAATCATAAACTATGAACCAAAAAAGCACAGTCTATCCCAAGTGAGACAAACTGCTTGATCCCCGTCTCCAGTGTACCAGCAGAGAACCTGCAGAACCGAATCAGCGAAAAAACACACCGGGCTAAGCCTCTCTACCTGAGCAGCTGAAGCTGCGGCTCGCACCCTCAACACACAGACACACAGACAGTGCTTCTGCATGCCAGCCACACGTGTGCGCAACTGTGAGAAATAAATAGTGAGGTGTACGCTGCTTTTCTATCTTTTTTTCCCTTTTCTTTCTTTCTCTCTGTCAGCGACATACACTCCTCACACAGGACGGGTTGTTTTAATTGACTGAGTTGATCATTAAGCCATAGTGATGCGCGGATCGGCTCTGATAGCACCTGAATCAGCATGTAAGCATCAACCATCCAGCCGTTACAACATGATTGAGCTAGCAAAGCAGTTTTGTGTTGCTATGTGTAGTATTTATTCAGTTTTGGGAAATCACGATGTCTAGAAAGCATCAGTGGCTGCAGCTGACAGGGACAGCTAACGTTAACACTAGCAGCAAAGCTAACATCAGGATCGTCATCCGTTAAAAGCCTCCCGTTGTCGGATACGACATGAAACTACTCCAGTTAGCTCAATCATGTTGTAACTAAGACATCCGCTGGAGAAAATATTTTTTTCACGGGCCACTTTGTGAGTTTAGTGAGTTATTACAGACACGGCTAACGGCTAACAGCTAACGGTTAGCCCAGCTAATCTACGATAACCATGTTATTAATTACACACAGAGAAAATACTAATGTTTGTTCAGTCATTGTGTTTATAGACTTTACAAACATCAGATTAGTCTAAACGGTGATATAGTGACGTGAAAAATGTGATATATACATATATATAGCTAAACTCAGCAAGGTAAACAACAAGGCGATTCCCATTTACACAGTGGCAAGAGTGCTGGACCGGAAGTGTCGCACAAAAAACGGAAGCTGGCTGCGTTCTGTTTTGCCTCCGTTTTTCCGTGAAAAATAAGGTGGATAGGGGAGAAAAGTTAGGACGATTCCAAAAACAGGTAAAAATTAATATAAAATTATTAAACCATCACCATTAAGGATTTTTTTTTTTCAAATATAGTAATAAAATGAATGATCTCTTTGTTTTTACTTGTTTTTGCCAGTATAAGTTAAATATCCCCATTGACCAAAAAGTGAACATGCATATTGACTGACCACCCCCCTGTATCTGCATGAAATGGTTTGGTCCGCCTTAGCGCACTGACGGTGACGGTGCCTAGCAACAGTCAGCAGTTGCGCAAGAACGCTACAGTCATCATCATGCTACCTAGGCTAGTACTAAAAGAAAATCCGGTTTTCATAAAAGGAAAGGGAGAAAGGAGAGAGAGCAGAGGCAAAAGAAAGGGTGTCAATATATAAGACAGTTTTTCTGCAAGAAAGGTGGGTAGCCTATAGTCTGTGAGTGGTAGAAATGAACCTGTTAGCTTAATGTCCATAGTGAAATAAGCTAGCTACAGACTAGTGTTAGCCTACATTTCACTCCTTTTAACCTACATTTAATCAGTGCAGGTAAATGTTTAGCAAGATATTCATAATAAATCAGTTGTCCCTGCCTCTTTTACCAGACTCAACAACAGATGAGTCAGAAGCAGCAGCCCTGTCTCCCCATAACTTTACTCCTCCCCGTCCCAATGAAGAAGGTGAGCAACACATGCCAGTTAGCATCATTGCAGGGAGTCTGTAGGAATTTCTCTCTCTCGCTCTTTTTTACAATTACAAAAAAGAAAACAAAATATTTTTTAATGACAGAAATTCAAACAAATTATTTTTCCACATAATAACTATTATGAAACAATGAAACGTTAAGTAGCCTAACTCAGCACCTCCATGAGGCCTTTTAATATAATTTTCCATTTCAACTTTATTTTCTTGTTGGCATATATGTGCAGTTAAGTTAAAAAATCTGCTGTTTTTATTATTTTGAGATGATGATCTTAATTTATTTTGATTGAAAAGTTAATGTAGCCTATATTTAAGTTATTCTTTAAGTCTTTCATTAATGTTAAGAGAATTTTCCATTTTGGGATTTTACATTAAGACTGTAAAAGATGGCCTTTAGGGCATTTTTTATGGCAGTTTTTAATCAAATAGTGAATTGCATACTGTATGCAGACTGTTGCATGTACAACTCACTAGCAGTACATATTGTACTGGTACTATTGAACTACAAGAAGCAAGACAGTTGCAAGCCTTCAAAGTTAGAGTTATGTAAAGCTTTTAATGGATCAGTTAGGTCCTAGAGATGTGGTGACAACAGCTGCGCAGGGAGGCCCAATATAATTTTTTTTCATGGGGCCCAAAATTCCTGGCGACGCCCCTGAGTCTATAGATAATCTGTCAAACATCTACAGAATAAAGCCAAACATTTGAATAGTTGATTATCGACTAATAAGCTGTTAAAATGTTACAAATACTCTGAAAACTATTTGTAGACTGACTAAAAAAGTGTCTAATTACTGGCAACTATGATAAACAATGGTATGTGAGAGAAGTTAGGATATAAGGTAAAAATACTTTCTGTCAGGGCAGCTAGTGCGTTCATCATTGTAGGCTCATGATATCTACTGCATATATGTCAGAAAGACTAACACGTTTATGACCTGTGGATTATAACATGTAGCCTAGTGTATTTCTGTCAGAAAAGCTATAGTGCATTATCACTGGTAAATGCACCAACTAACAGTCAAAGTAACTAAAATAATATGGATCTGTTATTTCATATGCCAGGAATCACGCAGTATATTAAATTCAGCACCATCTCTGTAAAAGTTCTCATTTAGGTCACTGGATATCTTGTAATCCTGAATTTTGTCACACATTCAAGAGGCTAAATCAGTTTGAAACTGATTGATGAAAATATTTTGTAGACCAAAAAGACCAAGTCCAGCTGCTTTAAATTAAGGACTTCACTTGTTCCATGTAAAACTGAAATAGTTCCAGGAAGAGAGAATTTTTTGCTTAGTTTATTATGTAAGAATTTTCCCATTATGCACAAAGCTGTTATTACATTGTTTTTCTTACATTATGAGCTTTTATCACATTTAAATTATTACATTATGAGTTGCTACACACAAGTATCATAAATATAGAAAATCAGTTCAATAAATGAAGGCCAAATGTTTACAATGTAGGAGATGAAAAGCCTAAACAATTAAAATACGTGAAACACTGCATATAATTACAGATATCAGCAGTGCCAGAGGATGAATCCTAATAAGTTATTCTATCTTTTGAGTTTTTCTTTAGCACCACCAGCAGGTCAGAGTTTTCATTTTTCAAAAAACCAAATGGGAGGCAGCAGTAGCACATACTGGCTTGGCTTGGAGTGTGGACTGGCAGTTGAAGAGGTGCCAGTTCACACTCCTGGGCACCAGGAAAGTGCCCTTGAGCAAGGTATCGAATCCCCAAACTGCTCCAGGGGCACCATATCATGACTGCTCCAAACATTTTTTTTTAATATACTTCATTAATCCCCCTGAGGGGAAATTCAATTTTTTTTGCTTTTTTTGTCATTAACACACAGGTTTGAAAGACACACACAAACAGGACCTATACATGCACAAAGTGGAGAGATGTCAGAGTGAGGGGGGTGCCTTGGTCAGGCGCCCTGAGCGGTTGGGGTGTTCGGTGCCTTGCTCAAGGGCACCTCGGCAGTGCCCAGGAGGTGAACTGGCACCTCTCCAGCCGTTAGTCCACGCTCCATATTTGGTCTGGATGGGGACTCAAACAGGTGACCCTCCGGTTCCCAACCCAAGTCCCTATGGACTGAGCTGCTGCCACATGTGTGTGTTGTGTGTAATAGGGATATGCGAAAGTCACAAGTCAACTGCTCCTGTGGATTGTTTAGACTGACAAAAAAATAAATAATAATAAAAAAAAAAACAACAACTGGAAAATTACTGATATTACTGCACCACCAACCTCAACTGTACCAGCAGCAAGCTAAACCAAGATATTCAATGTATGGACTATCTCTCTTTGTCTTTTTAAGTGTTTTTTAAAGGCAACTTTTTATTAACATGTGCATGAATACAATTGTCCCATATACCCGCACCATGACAGCAGGAAATAACTGAAACTAATTCCAATAAAATCCATAGTCATGTTCTCATGAATTACAATTTTATTGCTAACCTCAAGTAAATTCACAGTTACATTTCTCTCTTATTGTCTCTTTGTGTTTGTCCAAATTTCCTCTGTACAGTACATTATTAAGACAGCGCACCTGTGGATATGTTATATCTGGAAAGACTCTTAGTTCAAGTATTTATTGTGATTTTAACAATTTTATGGTTACAAAGCAGATTAAATCAACCTATCTTGCATTATTAAAACTTGCAGAACAAATTCATTGTGGCAAATAATCACTCTAGTTAACAATAACAGTGGTTTTTATTGAATCTCCTTGTTCCTTGTTGACTGTCCCCTGCAATTTAGACAAAAGGGAAGTGGGTCATTTTTGCATCATGAATAGATTACATAGTATAAGAGCAGACTCAAACGACGATTTCTATTTTTGGCATCTGCAAATGATTAAAATATGTCAATTATCCAAAAGAAAGTTGTGTAAATAACACACTGAAATTGCAAAACATCCAGTTGCCTTTGATTGACTGGATTACTCTTTAGCAGTGAAGCTCAGTGAGGTAGCTAATCATTTACTGTAGCTTTAATATTGAATTACATGTAATCTTTCTCTCCTTTTTACCTTGGTTTCTCAATGTCCTCGATGTACTCTGGCAGTCGGATGTTTAATGTTTCAGGCAGCAGCGAAACCACCAAACCAGATACAACTGCCACCGTGCAATAAGTGACTGCAGGGAGGAGATGCCATACGTCCTCCAATAGCATGATGAGTGGAGATATGGACACACCTAGCCGCGCCACAAATGCGGTGTAGCCTAAACCGTTCTGTCTGAAAAACAAAAAGCACTGAGGTTAATGTAAACCTGTAATAAATGTTGTCACAGCAGAGTAGATAATCATTGTTCATGGTCAAACTTGTCACAAGAGTTTGTTGCTGACTTACCGTACGACTGTAGGAAAGAGCTCAGTTGTGAAGAGGTATATGATTGTGAATGAGGCTTCTGACATGGCTTTTCCAATGACGCCCACAACAGTACGAATGACCCACTTATCTGGGGGAAAATGTTTAGATATTTGTCAAGACAACTCTCAGATATGTTAACAAAAATTTGATTTCATTAAAATAAAAAACAAATAACCTTGTGAGACAAACATGTTGATTAGGAGACAGAGACCAGTCAACAGCATGGATCCCATTTCACCAGACCTCCTCCCAACTTTCTCCAGGAAGTAATACACACCAATCTTCAATGGCATTTCAATAGATGCAAATATGAGTTGTGTGAGGTATGTGTTCAGTCCAAACCCAGTGATGTTCAGACTTATCCCATAATATGTAAATGCAACGCCATACCTAGAAAATGGAACACAACATTAAAACATTCACACACACCAGTTTTAACCCTGATAAGTGCAAAAAGGCAGATTTTCTCATGGCATATATTACATTAATATATACTCAATCACGATTTTACATTCACTAGTGTTTGATTTATGTCACTTACACTATGTTAAATTCATAGCTCAACATTTTTAGAAAAGACATTTGTTTGCTTTATTCATTAGGGTTACATCAAAAGATTGATACCACTAAACTACAGGGCTGGAGCCAGACTACAATTAGCTTAGCTTAGCATAAACACTGGTAACAAGGGGAAACAGCTACCTCGCTCTGCTACAAGTTCAAAATCCACCTACCAGCACCTCCAGGGCCTACTCATTAACATGTTTTCTGGCCTTTGAAGTCCAAACAGAAAAGTAACAAGGTAACAGCACATAGTTTGGCTTCATTACAACTCACAAGATTCACCGACAAACAACTGTCTTATACTAAACACATTTTCCAAGCAAATACAACATGCTAATGTTATTAGCGCCAGCCTATGGCATTTTACATTGTATAAATTAGCCTAGCAACTAGCGATCTTTCCCTAATCTCATATAAAACCAGGGACAACAGCAACATCTAACAAAGGTAAGGGCACACAGTTTGGCTCCATTACAACTCACAGCATTCACTGACAGAACAACTGTCTTATACTAAACACATTTTCCAAACAAATATAACATGCTAACATTATTAGCACCAGCCTATGGCGTTTTACATTGTATAAATTAGCCTAGCGACGAGCGGAGATTTCCTCTGTTCATATGAAGCCAGGATAAATCCCGAAGTATAAATCCCTGAAGGATAAATCACACACAAGACTTAAAATGCTATTTTAGTGGAGGCTTTACTTTCTTCACAATTTATTGTTTCCTATCTGTGAACTACAAGTAAATACAAGCTTCGTCTCCACTGAGGGAAATGGTTTCAGTATACAGAAACTGACAGGTCTGCGTCACCGCGACACTGAGCGTAGGGTGGGCGAGTTCAACTTTCTGTCAACAGCTTTGAAAACACCCCTTTTTTCACAGGTAACTTAGCCTGTTCCCCCCGCCACAGGAAATAATGGATTAATCCTGGAAAGCTATTGATGTAACACTTTTCTCCTTATGAAAGTAACCCTGCGATTATTCCACCAATGAGAATTTGGTCGGACAAGAGCATATCGACCAAATAATCGACAAGTCGACCAGGAGACTACAGCCCTAGTACAGTGACGACCCTTGAATTGTTTCACAAGGGTGGCCATATGGAGCCACTGAACATCTTAGAATGGCACACTAAAACCAAAAGCCATAACAGAATTTAGGGAATTCTCAAAAAATAGCTATCTTAAAAATTGAGTGTACCACAGCCTCTTGACGACAGTAGTATCGGCCTCCAATGGAGGCAATGGGACCATGGCCCCCCTGGACTACCCCCCTGGGTACACCATTGTTGGTGCACAAACAGGAGATTGTTGTCGATCCTCTCATCTCAGGGCCCTGACACACCACCCTGCCAGTCAGCCATTGGTCAGTTTGTGGCATGTTCCTCACTGTTGGTGCTAGTCAGCCCTGGTCAACTTTTTTTAGCATGTTGAATCAGCATCAGAGACGGCGGAGTCCATCCACATTTGGTTGTGGATTTGGTTGTTGCAGAACATACATAAGCCAGTGGCTTTAGTGTTTGCGGTGTGCAAGTGTATTTGGCCAAGACCCAGGCAACATGAGGCAAAGAAACACTCTACCTTTGTCCCTACTAGTTATTTGATGTCAGAAAGAAAGTAAACAAGCATCTTTCTCAAAATGCTAGGCTAAACAATTCCTTTAACCCATGTCATGAAATTGATACGTACCACACTATCCCTGAGCATATAGACAGTTTCCTAATAGTTGGGGTCTTGAAAAGATCCACTAGAGTGTACTTCTTATCCTCAGTTTCACCTTTTACAGATTGCAGTAACTCCTATGAGAGAGCAAACACAGTAAAACTATTCATTCATAAGACTTGTGGACAGGACTAATTGTGAAACTGTTAGTAAATAACATCAAAATGTACCGTCGGTGTGATGGTGGCCATACACTTGGTTCTGCTGTTCATCGTGGCACATTGCATTATGTACTGATGAGCCTCGTCTGCCTTTCCTTTTGCCAGGAGCCATCTCGCAGACTCTGGGAGCCACCTGAAGCAACAAACATGGTGAGTTCAGTGTCACACTGAGCGCGTTTACATGCACACTAATAAACCGATCATTATCAGATTTTTGGAGTTACCTGATTATTCAAGTGGTCATGTAAACAGCATAATCCGATAGGCTTTATCAGATAAAAGCCATTATCTGATTATGAGAAATCAGATAAACACACCTAGCTTTTTCCCCAATAGTCAGATTATTCGGTGCATGTATACCCTTTAATCTGGTTTCTTTCGGGTTTTGCTATTTTATACTCCCACTCCACTACATTTTAGAGGGAAATATTGTACTTTCTACTCCACCACGTTAATCTGACAGCTTTTGTTTCCTTTCAGATAAAGATTTTACATAAAATAATATATTTTTATATTCTCAGTGTTTAAATTGTCACTTTTATTTTATCTTACTTATATGTTATGCACTTTGTGTGACAAGTTTATATACCATACACTTGTATATTGCTCTTTGCAGTACTTTTACTCCGAATCTACCCAAAGTATGTAAAATAGGCTCCACATTGATAAACTACACATTAGAATGCTCTCACATGTATTTGTTAATGATAAAAACAAACAGTACTGTAAGAATATAAGCTGTCAGCATGATGAGTGCTTTACTTTGCAAATATATGACTTGCGTACTTTTCAAGGTTTTTCAAGGATATGAGTACCTACTGTAACAGGAAGTTTGAGTTTTATGTCATGTACTTGGAGAAATCCAACTGAAGGACTGAATCATGTAAACCAGGTTTTTCTGATTATCAGATTATTGAAGTGCACGTAAACGTGTCAAATCGGATTATTGCCATTACCTGATTATTCCCAGTTATCTGATTATTGTGCGCATGTAACCGTGCTCACTGACTTCTGAAATATGAAACTTTAATACCTCCAAGTAATGATGGACACTATCATGGGTAAGGTCACTGCCACGATGAGCCTCCTCCATTCATTTATGCAATATGCTATTCCCACCAGAATCCAGGTCCCAAGTGTCCAATCCAGGCTTATGATCACACCAGCAAAGGTCCTGTGTTCAATGCTGAACCATTCAACATCTGGAGAAACGTTAGCACAACTGAAAAGTCAGACCGTATTTTACAAATGATTTCTTGAGACTAAAACCAAAAAAAGATTAAAACATATTCTATTTTCCTTATCTCATTTTTTTTAACATTAGCATACTTACTCAGAACAATAGAGATGATACTTATTCCTGAGAGTGACATCCCTGTAAAAAACCTCATGATGATAAACATCATATACGATGAAGAGAAGGCACTCAGGATTGCAAACAATACGGACGACAGATAAGATACCAGCAGCAGTGGCCGTCGTCCAAACCTGGTCATGAAAAGAAAAATATTAAGAACAATTATTGTCTTAAAAACTAATGAGACAGACCTTGAACATTTATTCTCAATTCACAAAAAAGGCCATGCTTTGCACATGTTCTTTTAACTTGTCTTGAAGGTACCGTGTGTAGGATTTAGGGGCAACTTGAATGGGGATAATATGTTTCAATCATGTGGCTACTCTACACATTCAAAATAATATCGGACTGAATGGATCAAATGTGATTGTGAAACGGGTCATTTCACAGGGGTTGTGACACTCTAAAATATTAAGACACTTATAGACATTTACAGACGCCTCTTTTGCCATGGGAAAAAGTATTTTTGGGCCCGATGGCATCACCTGACAGATGTAATTACTCTGTTTGACCACTTTAAAATTTGACGTTAAATCCTGGCACACCTTCTAGGGACCTGATATCTACATAACGGGTGGATGATCTTCCATAGAGTGCCAACAACCACTTTTTTTTTTTTACTAGAGATCTTAAACATTACATTAAGAATTGTCTTGCTTAAATCAAAGCCCAGCGTATTATCTTACGCCTCCACTGGTGCCCAGTACACAGATTAAAGACAGAATAATGTGAAAGAAAGCACCAGAGGCCGGGATGTTCTGACTTTTGGCCTCTTGTTAGGTCAAGATCCAAAAACACAGGATCCTACAATTTCCATTATGCAGCTCAACAGTGTTTTTCATTAATTTACCTTGTCTCCTAAATCCCCCATCCATCTAAAATTTAACACAGGTTAACACAATGTTAAATCTCAAGCCCAAGCATCATCATTATTTATTTTTATCGTAATTTTTGTCAGACTTTGTAAAGCTCCTCCAGAAAACAAGACTGTCCTTCAAAATTCCACAGGTGCTTTATGACACATATTTATGTTTTGTGTGTGGTGGCGACCTCTAGCTGTCGTATTTATTATTACAGGAGCAAAGAGGGAAGTCGGGTGAGGAAATATATCTGACATTTGTTATAGAGAGGCAGTGTGTATCCATTTTTTTTGTTGTTGTTGTTTTTTTTTATTAACAGACCTACCTGTCACTGAGAAACCCAAACATAGGGGCACCGACCATAACACCAATGAAGAAGACTGTGGCTGTTGCCTTGTTCATCCCTTTTCTGCTGCACACGAGATCCCACTGCAAAGACATGATTGAAAGCATTACAGTAAAACATTTTGCAGTTGTCCATAGTGGAAGCTGAACTCAATACCAAGTCAAAACTAAATGTTTCTTACGTTTGCATTTAATAAAAAATTCAGCCACAAAGGATGCAACAAACATTTGATTTAATGCCTACATTAAAAGTCTACAGAACAAATGCCAATGCATTTAACGTCTCTGAGGAACATGGTATTCGATTAAAACATAGCTACTTAAAAAAAATACTGTTAAATCTATTGAAGAAACTTACCTCTGTTGCCAAAGTAGATTTAAATGTGCTGTTGTCATACACCCATCCGTTCTGACACTGAACAATAGATGCATCCTCACTGCTGTTTAAGCCTACCAGATGATACTGCGGCTTTAAAAACATCAGACAGGAGCTCAGAGTCCCATCCGGCTCTGTTGGCACACCAGCAGCCAGTTTCTCTGGCTGAGATAAGTTCCCAAAGATGCCTCCATCATCCAGAGCGGTGATGTTACAGTGGTGAGAGGGAACAGCCGCCATGAAGTTATTCAGCAGAAAGTGACATGGCAGAGTCATTCGAGCAGAGATCTGAATCAAAAATAGTCTGATTTGGAATTTTCCAAATCCGTTAATTTCTGAAAGTATGTTGTCAAATTTCATTTTGCTGCTGTGCTGTCACAAGAAGTTAAATGTTCCGACAGCCATATGAAGTTAGGTCCCAGACACTTAACTGGACACATTCACCAGAGGCACGTTAATCATTATCATCCACTAAAGAACCAGCTTTTTCAGTGCCCCCTATGTGATGCAAACACAGTCAGTCTGTTATAAACTAACTTAACTGTATTGGCGCAACCACAACAATTTGCATAAATCACTGTGTAACAAGATTAACAGGAGTATATCAAAGACCACTGGACGAAATATAAGTCAGAGGGGTGTGATGATAAATCATCATCTCCTTTAGACAACACACAGACTGTGTTTACAAGGTCTTTAGTATCCCGGTTTTGAGGCTTATCCCGGCTTTGAGGCTTATCCGGGATATGATGTTTACATGGAACACAGAGAAAGCAGGTTATTCATATCCCTGTATACATGATAAATGCCAGTAACCCGTTTTCTGATCACTGCATCCTATCTGCGCAGGTGTGTGTTACGTCTTTTACGTCTTTTGTTTACAACAGATTGAGCGGGAAATGTGATATATTTATTATATTTAGAAGTAAGACAAAAATGAGACCTCTGTGGCTTCTAGCGGACTTAGCTTTAGTAAATACTCACGGCGCATTACAGCAATGGCTCATCCACTTCATCTGTGTCTTCTGCCGTCTAAACACGTCTTTTTGTCGCTCCAAAAATGGGAAGCTCTTGTTGCCGCCATGTTGCTTGTATATCTGGTGCATCACTCTGGCACCTGCGCACACGGTGGGCAGCCGTCAGAGACCGGGATAAGGCGTATACATGCTCCAGTATCCCGGCTTCTATCGGAGTACTCCAGGTGGCAAAACCAAGTTTCTTGAAACCAGGAAAAGGGCATAATTCATGATATGGTGTTTACATGCACAAACACAAAAACGGAATACTTAATGTCATATCCTCCAAAAAAACAACCACAGTTACCCACTGACTTAAACTTAAACTGTGTTACATTTGGTGGTTGTCTCTATTTTATTTTTTAATTTAATTAGATTTTTTGTGTGTACATGTAACACAGAAAGGCCACAGAAAGGCTGCCAAAATGGCATTGGGGGAAAAAAATCTGATAGGCTGTTACTGTGGTATAATTAAATGATGCGTGTGTGATATTGTGATATTTAGATGTATTTATGTAATCCCAGCCAGTCTTTTTAGGTACACACACACACACACACACACACACACACACACACACACACATTAAAGAGTGATCTTGTTTTATTTACTCTGTTCCATTATGTTTGTGAAATGGGAGGAGTCATGAGATACTAGAATATTTTCCCAATTGTTTTTCCCCACTTGGAATTTCACTTGTAATGACAACCTCAGTATTATTGAACACACAATCACAGGAGTCTCCTGGATAAATACACGACGCTGCAAAGTTATGTGCTTCTATATATTCCAAATTAAGAAATCTCCATCCCCCAAAAAAATGATCGGAAACCATGAGTGATGTAAGTCACGCTGGACCACATCAGCCCTGGCCCTTGACACACAATTACATAATGGCCATGACATGTTGGTGCCTCTTAAAATTGTCTTCCAAGCTAAAGTCAGTCCAGGTGAATACAGACTTTGCAATCCTCTCTGAGCATGAGGACATTGCACCATTATAATGACTATGGCGGTAATGGGCCCAAATGTTATTAAGATCTTAATGAAAAATGGGGATGCATTAATTGACCAACCAAAAGTAGTATTATCCAATTATCCTCTTAACAGAAAATAAAATACAATTATCAATAATGAATCAATCTCAATACCTGGGTTATGAATTTTCTATACAGTGATCTTAGTTCCTGCTCAAAAACGACTTGCCGATAAATGAAGATTTTTTTTAGGGCTAAATGTTTAACAACTGAGTAAATGAATAGTAAATGAAGATAATATGAAATGACACAAAATCAACAGTATGTATAAATGGATTAAGACAAAAGGTTACACTTTTGTCAGTTATTTAGTTTGCCGATAGTGAGAGATGGTATGTGACTATAGATAAACTGGGGACGCAGGGATGCGCATAACCATTTACGTAACGAAACCTAAATTAAGATCAGAATAACTAAGTCTCCTATTCAACATCAACTCTTATCACAACACAGCGGCTGCATCAGGTGAGGGGAATTCTTTGCCTGCCCTTTTAGCAGAGTTTAATCAGGCGGACGTTTCTCCGAGGACCCCCAGACTGTCACTTTGCAGCTCCCGGACCTGCCAGCAGAATGAAACTGGCTGGAACACAGTGGTGGAGGAGCGGTTGAGCCTGACTGCGATGTCCTTCAGGTGGCCCTCAAATGTCGGTTCTCTTAGGCTGCAGAAAGTCTCTTGGTTTGGCAAAAGATCCACTGTGGCAAGTGGCTGTCAGCCGCTGGATCTGATGCATCTTTGATGGAGTTGCAGGTCGAACAGTAGCTCATTTATTTAGCTGTGGCTACTCACTTATAATAAAGTTGAAAACAATCTCGTGGAATTGTCCGAGAGATTTAAATGATGGAAAAGTTGACATATGTTTTGAGAGTTAAAGAGAATACATTGAAAAAGAACTGGAACAAATGGAACATTTACATGAGACATGACACCAACTAAAAGGATGCCTGACTTGAAGACACTAGAATACGGAAACCGTCCCAAATAACCAGTTATTGTATTTGGTTTGTGTATCACATTGTATTAGCTCTGTGTCAGTGTGTTTGTACTGTTTATATATCTGTGAAAACTCAATAAAAATGTGTTTAAAATAAAATGTTTTCTTTCTCCAGTTCTCATGTTTGAATGACTGTCCAGAGACAGTGGTTCATTTTCTGTCTGAAACATGTCTTCTACACTTACCACTATCGAATGTAACCAAAGCTGCATTATCATAGCCATAATTCTCTTTTATCATATTAAATGTCTCAAAAACTCATTTTAAGGACTGAAAATGAAATACTACTTTTGCGAGACAAGCAGAGAGCACAAGTGTACACAGCTGTTGACATTTGACCCCACTTAAATCACCAGTTATTTCAGGCAGTTGACTTGTTGTTCCCAGTACGTCACCTCTATTTATAATGCTTCAAATCTGAAATGATCATCAGCATTTCTCTGTATTTTCTGACATTTCATTAAAAAAAAAACATCAACCACAGTAACTAATATGAGCGTTACTTGCTACCCTGATTTAACACATAGCCTATAATTTGTTTGTAACTTTACTTCATGTTAGATTACAATATGCCCAAAGGTTCTGTCAATTGAGAGACAACTTAATATGCTTAATACGTGCACAAACACAGGAACTCAACAGCACAAAGAAGGCAGGCTTGAATCAGCGGCTACTCTGATCTGTACCACATTCAAAGCTTGGCACTCTTCCTCAAACAGCAGCCAGTTTGCAATATGCTAAATGTGAAATACAGTGGTCTCATTTGCATGAGATACAGTGACCTTGTTACAATTTCCATTAGTACAAAGACTCACTCCTCATTTCAAGGAGCCAGGGAGATAGCCACATGAATTCAGATCGAGCTTCGTATCTTTACAGACTGTGGGAAGCAGGGTTAAATTATGTCTTCAGTGCTCAGCACAGCTTCCCCAAAAGTGATGAATAACCTGAGACCGAACATGAATGACACTTTTATATTGTGGGACGATCATTAGCTCCACAGTGAGGCCGTGAGGTCATTAAAAACAAATGCATTCATCTTTTTGGGAGCATTTATCACTGAGGAAATAAACAACTATGACAACATAAGTGCTTTATGAAGTTAAATCTAAGTGGAAATAATGATTGAAAGTGAATATCAGTGTGTGTGCTGCAGCTGGAGTTGCTTCTCCATTCCCATATTGCTTCTGCAAACCACGGTTTCAAACTTCAGTTCCATGTACGGGTATCCTGTCAAAGAACAGCAGTCTGACCTCATCTATTTACCATACAGCAGCTTTATAATGTGCCATTTTACCCTGATTTCTTTTAACCCTGTTTCATAACTCAATCTGACAGCAAACGCTTATTAATGCAACTTTTAACTGTAGTGGTTGCAAAGTAACATGCAGCACATCTGTGCTGACTTTGTATAAGGCGGTTTGCTAATGTCTTTTGGTGAAGTTATGACACATACACTGACAGCAAGCTGAAAACACATTTTAAATCACTCTAAAAATATCTACTATTTTTTCCTTAGGATCAGGGTCAACATGCTATAGCCGCACGATGCTAACTCAGCTGTGTCCAAACGGGGATGGGGGCAGGAGTACCCTTTTCTCCTCTCTCTTTAAATACGGTAGCATACATGAATGAGCAAGGCTGCACTATGAGCAAGGTGACCTGAACCTGAACATCTGCAGTCTGCAACAAGTGCTCAGGATCTCTCCTCCACAGTCCTGCAGTGAAACCAGCAGGATGTGAAGTCTATAATGCTGGATTTTGATTGACGAGGATTTCTTTTTGGACAAACTTTCTTCTACAGTTGCTTCGGGAGTGAATAATGTAAGTAGTGGATAATGTTTACCAAGTACTTTCTTGCTTTCTTGATCCTCCTTTAAGAAGCTTTCTTGTATCAGAAGCCATATCTCTGTTTTATTCAGCATGCTGTTGTGAATTTCATTTAGTGAGATTTTCTCAAAGTCTGCTTGCTTTTGGCTTTGATGGACACTTCTACATAGTAATGAATGAACAGGTTAAACTGAATACTTAGGCTTAAACTTATTACACCATCTTTGGGTGTTTAATTCTTTTCGTATGGTTCCCTCCTGCACCAGAATCTATTAAGCAGTAAGATACATCTCTCTAATTGCTGCTGCACCAATTTAATTCTAGTTTAGATATAACTTCAGTCAAGAAATATCTGGTTTGGCTGTATATTCAGACTCCTGACATAAACAACTAAAACGTATTTGCTGAGGCTGTTTAAAACAGGTGCTTCTCATTAGTGCCTAAAGTAAGGCGGTCTAATTGTGTAATAAATGGAAACATCTAATCCGCTAGAGCTCAATCCTCACAGGGGTCATCCCCCAGACCAAAAGTTCACCCGTTTGTCAAGGATGCTGACTCCCCGTCTCCATGGCTATGAGTCAACACAGTGAAATTACTGCCATACTAGGAAACAGAAACTCCCGTAGCACCAAAGTAAGGCTTGATGATGGTTTAGTGTTAAAACGAAGTGGAACCAAGTGTGAAGAGAAGCGTGGGCATGGGACAAAGAGTCCAGGGGTCTGTAGCTCTTAGTAATCCCGGAGCCGCATGTGTCATAAGGCCTCTTTATAGCAATGGAATAAAGATCCACGCAATCTAAAGCAGTTAATCCGAGGCTTCAACAATCTTCAGTTGAGCAGTGTTGCACCACATGAAGCCATTCCACCTGCTGCAGATAGAAATGTGTGCGTGAGCTGTATGTGTGCAATGATGCATAGAAGTGTCATTGTTTTCATTGGTGAATATTGCTCTTTGTTATCAATGATGGTCTGTCACTCCTCATAGAGTTGAGCATTAGTTGCCGTATTATACTGTCCTGTTCAAATGAATAAAACTAGTTTGCAGTGCAAATGCTCAGACATAAGTAGATGAGAGAAGGGCCAGTAAATTACCATTACAAAAATATGGTCAGCTATAGTATTTAATCTGGGAGACACCTTATGGAATTATAACTGGTTCTAGTGTTCAAGTATTATAGTGTACTTATGTATTGCACATTCGTATAGTCTATTGTACAGCTCTATTTGCTTATGATTAATAATATAAAAGGGAATTTGTTGTCATTTTCTCTTTTTTTCCCCTCTAAAAAATGCATGTTATCTTTCAATATTTTCCATCAGTGGACTCAGTGTTCCTCTAAGTGTGCAAACTGAAAAAAAAGAAGAGCAGGACTCATTTAAATTGGTCCAAATTTGTAATGTAAAGATGAATTCAACTGTGAAATAGTGTCAGTTTGTCTCAACACTTAAAGCTTTGTTCTAGAGAGCTGCTGTAAAGATTGCTGTGACAATATGTTGGATATTCATTGATCTACAATGGATGCATCCTCATGTTGACCTTTACCTGACCTCTGGTGCTGCCATTAACCCCCATGTCCTCTTGAACATTACTGAAATCCAAAGTGGCAGACTGATGTGAAAGCATTTCAGGCATATGTTGGAGCTTTTCTGAATAGCAACTTTCTGGCCAAAATGTCAACGTGTAATCTTACAGTAGGCAGATTGAAATTAAATCTCCTGTCAGCATTTATGCTCCCATTAGAGGAACAACACCTCTGAAGTTGCCTTTCCTCTAGCGCCACCCTCAGGATAAAAACTCTACCCTTTTGACCCAGCTATTTTTAAGGATCTAATAATAGCATTATCATTTTGTTTTTTTGTGACTTTGCAGCAAGTACAAGCTGCTTGCATGGCTTTAGACTTTGAGTGCTGTTGATTAAAGTCTGTTGTTTCTGGAATGAATTTAAGCGTATAAATTTTCTCTCTGAGTGACTTTAGTTGAATAATATTTGTAGGAAAGACACAGGTGGCAGGAACGGTCCTGTGACCCTTTGAGAAGTAGTTTTTGACGGTTTATTTCGTCACCCTATCAGGTCTCAAATTAGCTTTTCAGATGTGATGAAGAACTGATACGCATGTGCTTTACAGCCTATGATTTTTTTGTGTTACACATTATAATCTATTTATTGCAGCTGAATCAAAGGAGTATGTTGTAGACACTTTGAAAAGATAAATTATAGAGTGTGAATGTGAAGATTTTATAGCTCGCAATGTCTTTTTTTTTTAATTATTCTGGTGATCGGGGGTAAATTTATATAACTCATGGTCTGAAGTGTTATGGCACCACCCTCTGGAAGACATGTGTTTGGGAATGGAGAACTTGTGTTTGCAGTGAAATCTAAAGTGCTGTCCCTGCTTTCCAAACAATAGCAGACAACTGAAATGGCTTTTGTTCTGAATTCTGGCTGGTCTATAGATGAATATTCTGTCTAATATTGACAACATGAACAAACATGATGTCTGTATTAAATTTAACAGTTTCATATTAGGTTATAAAAGCACCATTTTATGTTCATGTCAATTTACTAACCTGAAAATGGGGAAAGCAGCAAAACTCTTGAATTTAATGTCAGTTTCGGCCAAAATAATTGATTGGATGGAAAAACACTGACCGCTGTTTTGCACTATTTTCTGTTTTTAGTTTAGTTTATTTAAGAAGGGACAGCACATATTTAAAGGCTATTTTTCATCTTTAGTCCCTGTAGATGTTACATAAGGCTACCTAAAATACAACAAAGCACAAAAAAACAGAACAACAAAAAAAGAAAAAGCAAAGAAAGAAAGAAAAAGAAAACAGGGCAGACAGTTTTAAAGACTTTGAACACATCAACAAGATATGATTTTAACATGACTTTTTAGTTACAAGAATGTAAGGATCATCAAATGTGTGATTTGGCACACATTTGATGATATTAAAGGACACACAATTTTTAAAAGCACTACAGGCTGTCATGGATTTTCACACAATAACTGATTACCAGAATAATTCAAGAGAATAACTTGGTAGCCTGTTTAAAAGATTATCTGTTAACACAATTTAACTTCAGTAACAAAACAAACACTGCTTGTAGTGAGGGAGCAGGAGGCTCAGTATTTCTACTATGTATAACACAAATTGTCTCTGAGATTCAGTTCTTAAATGGAGATGCTGATTGCTGGGCTGATATTTGTTGCAGTGATAGATGAGAGCTGCGGCAGGAGAGAAATCTCTCTGTATAAACAGGAGTACGGAAAACAGCCACCCAATTGTTTTGCTTATCCTCTTGGATGTGAATGCTGTTTCCCCCCTTGATATTACATACCATTCCATTTAGAGCGATGGCAGCCCCGATGAGACTGCCAGAGAAAAGCTGCACTTCCTATTGGGGATAGGAATAATTCAGATGGTAGTTCAAAATATTACAAAGTGTACTAATGCTGACATGTCTTGATCTGAAGAGTAAACACTTCAGTGAAGGAGTTTGTTGTCATGGTTGTTAGGATTTCAGTATTTCTGCAAGACTGTCAAAGTTTGACAAATCATTAAACCTAGTGTTAACACTCATGTCTGTCCAGGATTGTTTTCTGGGGTTCATTTTATACAGATACCATGTAATATTTAAAGTGTGATACATGTGTAATTATTTTCAAAGGGCTCCTTGACCTGAAACACTTTGTTTGTGTCTTAATGAAGGTGTTGTTGGTGACACCCAGGATATTGTGAAACAGCATTAGAGATGGAGCCAGAAGTCGAAGACCTTGACAACAACGACAACTCAGTGCCTTGGTCAGGTTCAGATGGTTCCCAGGAATTTTGTGAGTCTTATAACGAAGATGATGCCAGTGATGAAGAGTACCCTTTAGACCCTCTCCCTGCTCGCAGATCAAACACAGATCTCGAGTCCCCAGAACGCCGTCAGTCACAGGACTGGGGACCTCCAGGTGAGCGACGCTCCCTGCGTGAGCTGAGTGGAAGTGAAGACGATGTTTCATACCAAGAAGAGGATGACATCTACCTCAGTGAATCAAGAGAGTCCATTACAGAGTCTCCTCACATCCAAAGATCACTGTCCCCACACCCTGAGCGCCCCGACTCGGAGCCACACACTGGCCAGATAACACGTCAGCATTCCTACTCATCCTCCTCCTCTATTGGCCGTGCTGCTGATATGACCCTGGCCTTGACCCTGGCCGCAGAGCAGCCCCAGGACCTAGGCAGTGGGAACAGGAGGGTTGAATCTTCAGAGGAAGGAGGGAGTAGTGAAGCACCTCCTGCTTCTGTCTTCTTTGGAATTTCAGATGAGGCTGCTGAGCAGGCAGAGAAGTGGAACTCGGAGTCTGACACAGATCTGTGCAGACCGGACAGGCACAGGGCAAGGTCCACACGTAAGTATCTATCTTCTACCCTCACTTGTTAGATTCCAGTGGACATATGAAGCGGGTGGTGCAATCTCTATAGCATATACTAAATGTTTTTTTTAATCATGCGTGACTTATTAATAGATAAGATACTAATTTGTGTTTGTTTTAAAAGCAGCCTGAGACGTGAACTAACTTTTGATAATAATCTTAAATAAAAATTTCTGCCTGTCATTATTTTTGGTGTTATACGAAGACTTTAATCGATAAATAACATTTGCAAAGCACCATGGGTTCTGGTTATTTTCATGCTGCAACGTGGGGTCTATTTGAGGTGGACTTAGAGGGAGAATTCCCATGGCTTTAATAGTCAGAGCAGGATAAGAATAAAATATGACCATATGATGAGGCTGGCAGAAACAAATTTGACAGACACCAGCAAGTGTCACCCCGGCCTGTCACCCGATCCCTTTTCCAATCGTAACTTGACGGCAATGGAAAGTGAGCTCCTCACTTTTCTTGCCTCATGGACCCCCCTAAGTTAGCTGTAAGTAAATATGATGCTTTTATTAGTGTGCTTGCTTCAGCAGGGGCAACTTTAATATTGCTTTTGCTTGTGCTAAGGTGTGCTTGCTTCAAATAATAATGACAATAACATAATAATAATAATGGTTGGTTTCATCTGAAAACTGAGATCAAACTGAATTGAATAAAATCCCAGAATATCTGTCTGTTATATGACTTTACTCAGCACTGATCAGTTAAATACTGTACCTTTAAATGCCAATTGACTGACAACATATCAAAATAAAATAATGTGTATATATTTCCATCTGCATCTCCGTTTTTTCTTTCTTTTTCACCGTCCCTCTCTCCTCTTTTGTCCCAGGGCTCGATCACAGCGAGAGCCAATCGGAAAGACACGTCAAGGAGACCAAATCCAAATGTAAGCGAATTGCTCGGCTTCTAACGGATGCACCCAACCCTCAAAATAAAGGAGCCTTGCTGTTTAATAAACGCCGTCAGAGAGTCAAGAAATACACACTCGTGAGTTACGGGACTGGTGAGAACAAGCTTGACAGCGAAGACCAAATAGAGGAGGAAACTGAAGAAGTTAGATCAACTGGTTATAACTTTGTGGCAACAAGTGAATCCGAGCTCGAGGAGGAGTATTCTGTTTATCACCAGCAGCATAATTTAAGTCTGAATTGGGGAAGTGTTCGAGAAATGGAGGCACTACCAGAAACGAAAGGAAAGGGCGTTCTGATGTTCGCCCAACGCCGCAAACGGATGGATGAAATTGTGTCAGAGCGTGAAGAACAGAGGAATAAAGCATTACCTGTGGAGACGATAACAGAACACGAACGTACAGAAGCACAGAATATTTCTGACCCTGAGGAAATGTATGTGCATGCTGATCAGGCCGACTACATGGATGCAAATCTTAAGCAACATGTAGAATACCAAGAAGATATTCAACAGATGAACCACCTATCGAATGTGCCAAGACCGTTGGTGCCAAACAGAACTGCAAAGCCCTTCCTTGGATTTAATGTCAGCACAACTGCTCCTGTCATGCCTGGTGGCGATGTTCCAGCGATGAAGAAGCATGAATCAAGATTCAGAGTACCTGTGCCTATTAACACTAACCCACATGTTTGGTCCCCCACTGGAGACATTATAGCCTCAAGAGATGAGCGAATATCTGTCCCAGCGATAAAGACCGGCATCCTACCAGAATCTAAAAGGAAAGCTGCTAATAAACAGCCATCAGCGCAAAAATCTGATCCTCACCTTCAAAACAAAGGGGACAGGAGGTCTTACATTGAGCCTGAGGAGGACTTTTTTAGTCTCGGTGCTGAAGCTTGTAACTTCATGCAACCCAGAACAGTAAAACTCAAACATCCCCCTCCAGTTGCCCCAAAACCTACCATCAACCCATCCTGCCCACCTTGGATGAGAAGGAGCCCCTCTGCCGAACCCTTTATTCCACCAAGAAGTCCGGTTTCACAACCTTCTCACAGTCCTGCGGGGCCTCATAGTCAGCATTACTCACCACAGCAAGACTGGGCTCAGCCTCAACAGATGGCCAACCACTGGGCACCAGATCAGACTCAGGCAACACTTCAAACACCTGCCAGTGCCTGGGCTCCGGCCTCTTCTCAGCTTCATCTTCAGCCAACCACAAATAGCTGGAGTCAACAGCCGTCACGATCCCCTGTGAGTATGCAGGCCCGCAGTCCTACTTACAGCCCACATCAACCAGCTTCACCCGCAAGGAGTAAGTTAGAAAGTGTCCCAAACTCAGTTGCCTCTTGCCCACCACAAGCAGGGAAACCATATGTCCAAATGTCAAAAGCATCGCTGTCTTCTCCAAAGGGTCGAGTCTCAGACAGAGGTATCAATCGGGCCGGTGATGGTTCAACTATGGCGGGAAAAGGCGCAGAGTTGTTTGCCAAAAGACAGTCCCGTATGGAGAAGTTTGTTGTCGATGCTGAAACGGTGCAAGCTCACAGAGCAAGATCCCCCTCCCCTACTGCGTCCCTCCCTAACTCATGGAGGTATTCCTCCATTGTCCGTGCCCCACCTCCTTTATCATACAATCCTCTTCTTGCCCCTTTCTACCCTCCATCAGCAGCCAAGCAACCCCCTTCTACAAGCCCCAAAATCAAGCCTAAGACCAAACCAAAACCTAAAGCAGCCCCAAAGCACCTCAACTCCTTAGATATTATGAAACATCAGCCTTATAAGTTGGACTCCTCGCTATTCACATATGATGCAGCCCCTGAGGCCAAAAGCCCCAGCCCCAGCCCCAAACCAACTTCAGCATCCAAGTTTGAGGCTACCAAAAGCCTCAAACAAAGATCTGCCCTTTCTCATTCTCCTTACAATGCCTCTGAGCTCGTTGTTCAAAGCGAGCCAGAAGTCCCCGCTAAGTCTCCTATATCGGTAAGTTCCAAACATTCTTCTGCCCGCCCGCAAAACACAAGATCAGCTGAGCCTCTTGCAACTGACAAGCACTTGGATGAAAAGCACACTGTCACGCCGCCTGCAGCCCCTCACACAGGCAGTAAGCAAGCACCGGCCACCCGGCCCACAAGCGCATCCTCCCAGCATTCATCTGTTGGTGACAGCATAGCTTCAGCTTATTCTCCTGCATCTCTCATTGCTAGAGGCGCACTTCAAATGGCACCTCGCCCGAAGTTCTCTGCTAAGAAGCCAGCAGTGGCGAGCAAACAGTGGAGGCCTGTTGCTGTTCTTCATTAGCTCTAATACTGTATTTGGTCATGCGCTGGTGCAGTCACCACTGAGACGGTAGAACACAGTTACATCTGCCCTGCAACTCGGTAGCATCTTAACTTAACAGCTGGAAATGGTTAGACGTTTGTCTAAATGTAGGTCACATCCAAAATAGTTTACAGTACGCAGCTATGAGGGTATATTTAGCTGGAAATGTGAAGAAACCATGTTGAATGTACAACAAAGCAAAGCTTGCTTAAAAATGTAAATCAATAGAATATTAAATAAAATAAATACAGAAATAAATAATTTTGCACATTATACCATCTTCCTCAGATGTGGGAGGTGCATGTGTGCTTGAAAAAGGAAATGTGAGACTAGATAATGTTGAGTGATTCTCAGGAAGTGCTAATACATGTGCAATAATGTGTGCAGAGAGCCTCGTTCAACTGAGGTCTCTAGTTTGTTTTTCTTTTGTTGTTGATTTTCTTTTGTAAAAAAAAATGACTACTTGCATGAATTTTTTATGTGTTAGTGGTTATCACTGGCCCCAAAAACTACACACAACAATGACATTTACTAACATATTTATTTATTAAATTAATTAATATTCTGTCATCTGGGATAACAGGAACTCACAATTATATATGCAAAATATTCTTAATTGTTTAGTGTGTCTGGGGAGAAACTGTCAATGCACTTCTTTTTTTTGGATGCACAGAATTTGCAATTCCTTCAGTCTCATTCCAAACTGACATCACAACCACTAAAAGCACTAACATTAGTTGTGATTCTTAACCCTGATGACTTTAAATGTTTCTTTTTATGTGGATATATATTCTGCAGTTATGGCCAGTTATTTAACTGTCAGTAAAGTCATCAGGCATTCTGTATCCTAATCCTTGATGTAAAACACGAGCTACCACAGAGATTTGACGATTGATCCACATTGCCAGCAGCAACTCAAAATGAAAAAAGGAAACAGTTGTCTTGTTTGTGTTTATGTCTCTGTCTTTCAAACATATCACTGTTGATTGCACTTCTTGTTCTCAGCACAACCATGCTATTAAATTTCTCTTTCTCTCTGCGTGTGTACTTCCTGTGTGTGCCACGAGCCTCTCTTTTTCTGCACCACTACTTTTTCTGAGTCACCCATATTTCCTCCTTCATCTTTCTCACTGCCTCACACAGAATTTATTCATATTTACTGCACCTTCAGCAATGCCAGTTTTCCATGATTCACTGCTTTATTGGCTGTTTTTAATGAGTTATTGCTCATATTAATGTAAAATGGATAATTGCTGAAGGTTAACACCATAACTGACCGGTATGACTTCATGTTTCTGGACTGATGTATTTGTTTATTTTCACAGCATTTCCATAAGACCACCTTTGAAGCTGTAATTGGTAACTTTTATTAAAAAAAAAGAAGAACCATTTGTCATATTTGCTGAAACTGTCACTATATCCATGTCATATTATATGGTAAGACAGGTTATCATGAAAAAAATCATGTTCCTCTGCCTCCTCGTATTGCTTATAATGGCTTTCCAGTTGAAGAACTCATCAGAGCTGAGGAGTTTCAAACAAAGCTGTCAATCATGTCAATCACTGCCTGTGAACTGTGTTTAAACTGTCAAATTAGGCAGCTCTGATTAAAAAATAAGTCAAGATTCTGTCACTCCATGGCCTATTTCTCGCCTCAGATGTTTTCAGAATCATATTTTGGCGAGCTGTTTAGCTTGTAAGATGAGAAGGTTTGCTCGGGCTGGTGGGTGGTGCTTCGTTTTTGTTTGAAGGTTTTCAAAATGGCAGCCATGTCACAAACATTCTAATTTTACAGCTAAACAGTACACTAAAATATGTTTCTGACATTACATCCATAAACGATAAATACTGGGTGCTGGACAGAAGAACAAATCCAACAAGATCCAATAGGTCAGCAGACCAGAAACTGCTCTTTTTGGAAATTGATAAGATAAAAGATAAAACTTTATTGATCCCACACCGGGGAAATTCACATGTTACAGCAGCTCAAATAGCACAGATAAAAAAAAAGCCAGTTGAATGGCAACAGAATACTTACAGAATAAAGATAATATACAAAAAGATTTCAATCTTTCTAATCATAATTAGAAAAATATAGAATAAAATGTACTAAATTTGGACACAACTATACACTCAGTACTATTTACATTATACACCTTTCACTTATGCACATATTGAACAAGAATATGTATATATGAATATATGTATGGGTATATATCAACAGCTGTACAGGATGTGCAGACCTGTTCTTATATTTTCGATTCTAGCAAATGCTATTAGAAGCATAACTAGTGGGAGGAGGAAGCTGATAGTCTGTCACATGTACTTCTGTGTGGATGTGGTACCAGTTTCAGCAAATGTAACAATAACATACTTTTATAAAAGTTACCAGCTGTATCTTTAACTCTGAATAGACAAAAGTTTGGATCTATGATCTTGGCCCTCAAAAGATAATCTGCACACTTTTGTTGAGCGGTGCTGATAGTCTATTGAAGGGAAATCCACCCTAAAGCAGAATTTACATTTTCCTATTCCAATAATATCTTGAATGCAAATATGTACTGTCACAGTAAAAGTATGTTATCTGTATTTATAGAATATATGTTTTATTATATTTAAAGACAGGCTGGATTCTGCTTAGGTTTTGAGTGTATTTTATAGTTCTTAATACTCATCAATGTAGTCATTCACTCACAAATATTCTCCCCACACCCTAAGATCACTCAGCTACACCCAAAACTAGCACAACAACCTCTGAGTAACAAATATTCTAGTATGGTATATTGGCATATCACTAAGTTTTTCTGCTCACTAGAAAGATACAAACACTAGTAAATTGAGCATAGAAATATACATTAAGAAATGGATTATTTGTGGTGAAGGATAAGTCAGACACAATCACGTTAGCTGTGAAAACTAGCTATCAATACTGGCTAATGGTGTGCCACTCATGTTTAGATATATGGTCAAATGGTTTATGCTGAGACAGTCACATTACATGGTTATTTATTTCTTTAGCTGTTTTAAACCAAGAGAAACAACCAACACGAACAGGAGCTATTTCCTGGTTTTTTTAGTTTTTTTGAAGTTTATGGTTTATATGTTAAATCATACCGCAGCTGGTAAAGGTTGCTATAGATGTGCTAATAATACGGTTGTTCCAACTGACATGTCCGAACTGTAGAACAGACAGTATCCCTGTCAAGTATCCCTGAATACTGATTACAGTAGTGACCATGATTTGAGGAAAAATAGGCTGCAGTCTAGGCTAGATGTACAATGAAACCAACATGTGAATTGTCCTGTAGGGTGGATTTCCCCATTATGCACATGACACAAAGACAAGTGGGCACAGATATAGCTCCAAACAAGGTTCTATAATCGTTTAGATGTCTTTGTCGTAGTAATATTGTCACTGTGCTTGATTTAAGTTTCTTGAACCAACAGCAGGTAAGTTCTTAAGTCTTCATTTGTTTTTAATCTTTGTTAATGTCAAATGCTGCTACACAGATCATACGCACGCATATATATCATTTAAACCTGTTTAGGGGATTTTAATAGAAAGCTCAGTCCTATAGTTGGTCTATAAATCTTGACATTTTTAAGTTGTTTTAGACAAATAAAAGGTCCTGTGAATGGGCCCTACCCAAATCTGCAGCAATTGTTTTAAGTTAATAAGTACTGGTGAATATTTTGGTTCATAAAATATGATAATCATTGCATATATTTAGGATTAAAATGATCATTGGTGGCCTCCATGACACCATCCTAGCAGATGGGTCACAGAAAGCGTTCCCCTTTTTTCTCCCCTGTGGGTGGCCCTGCCAAAATCAACAGTCCCATTTAACAGAAAATGCAAAATATTACATTTATTTCATGTGCAAAAAGTAACACCATGTGAATAAATGTGACAAAAAATGAATGTTTCAGTCAAAGGACAACTTACGAAGCACAACTTGCAGACTAATTCCAGAGAAATAAATAGGCTGATCAGACTTACAACAATGGCCACTGGGAGGAGGGCAGTATAAGGCTGAAATGTTCACTTCTTGCTGGATGTTTTCGCATTGTGTCCCTTTTTGCCCACAAAATAAATGGATTCTTTTGCATCTTAACAGCCTCTTATGTCAGTATGCAGGGAATTTTTCCATAAAATTGAAAGTTGTTTTCTCAAAACTATAATTCAATTGTTTGCACCCACTTGTTGACGAGCACTGTCATTTAATTTCAAACAAAACATGAATAAACCTTACATAAACATTACATATACATGATTAGTTGTCCAGGCTTCCATGAAGCCAGAGGGTGGCAGCAAAGTCTGCAGCACTGCTGTAGTACCAGTCAACTAATTCGAGCTCTTCTTTCAGGGATATGGTAGAAGCCGCTCCCTGAGTCTGCCCAAGCGACTGAATTCGATGCCTTCTCCCAGACTCCTGTCACCTGTGAGCACACCAGGAATCCAGGCGTCATTTTTACCCACACAGAGGCAAGCGTCCTTTCAAGAAAAAGTCTACAAGCCACTGTCACCATGGGAGGCAGCATCCAGAAGCCCCATTGGCTCAGTGGATGATGCCTTTGTGTTTCAGGGCCTCTCGTCATCTGTTGCCACTAATGTCAAAGCCGCAGGGCACCGTCGGTCTCTGCCAGAGCCTCCAGAAGAATGGAAGCGTAGGGTGTCCCTTGATCCTGCACCTGTCAGTGCGGGTCATTACCGAGCCGCCCCAGCTTTTCAGGCACCGTTCATGAGCAGGACATTTTCACCTGAGAAACCAGCCTTCTATGGGCCTCCCTTCAGACCTGCGCAGCCTCTGAGGTCTGCCAGCATCGGATACATGGGGCAAAGCTCCAGTCCAACTGTGTACTCTCACATGCATAGTGCAATCCACAGAAGTTAATACCACTAAAATGAGATCAGGCATACATCAGATGAATAGAAACACTCTCACATTCTGTATGGTGAAAAGTGTGTTGAACATGAAAGACAAACAAGTTAATTTGGCCCCAAGAGATGGAACATGTTTGCTTTATAATGATTACAAAAAAGGGGTTGTTGATGTGTTGGCTCAAACTTTTCCAATAAGTCTGAGAGGTCTGAGACTCATGAGACGCATGTTTTAGACAATTTATTGTGTTTGTTTTAAATTGTTGATGGCAGTGATAAAAGTCGCTATCTTAATGGTACGAGTGGTCACTTGGTTTGAAGAGCACAACGACTTACTGTAGCTATTGTGTTGTGTTGAGATATTACCCGGCTAAGCATTGATGGGAGAGTCTGCAGTTGTGTCAGAAAGATCATTTCAGAATTATTATCATGTTATATCAGTTTTTACAGACTGGTTTAGGACAGAAGTGGACCACTGCAGTCAGGAAAAGTGTTTGCAAAGTGTTAGGAGAGCTAAAGTGAACGTGCAGTTGAAGAAATGTTTGGTAGATTGCCTTTTATAAAAATGTGGAGTGGTGTTGCTCACTGAAAATGCTGTTAATTTTGACATTGTTAATTATAAATATTTAGTGAGAAATGAGGCACTTTTTCCTTCTGTTCTGTGTGGCTTTTCAGTCATGTATCTTAAGTGAAGCTTTCAAACTCACTGTGATTATGTGATCACTTCTGTACACCTGAATGTTTCATATAGAGATGTCCAATACACATTCACTCATCTTGTTTTAATCTGTCTTTTCTCTCACTACTATTGCAGTGGCAATGGCAAGTATATTATGAGACTTAACATTTTGTATGTGTACTTTATATGTACTGCAGTGCATTCTAAGAAAATCCTGCAATAAGTGTGGCATCTTAAAGGAATATTTTACCTGTGAAATGACCATTTCTATATCAGTTACTCACTCTTACTTTGAATTAATGAAGAAAAATTTGTTTTTCTCACATGCCTCCACGGTGAACGGAGAATCCAAAAAAGGAACATTCTCCATTAATTAAATAAAAAAATGGGCTGCATTTAACAACTGCAAAACTATATAAAAACATCCATTTTCCGGGTGTGGCTCAGGAGGTACAGCGGGTCGTCCACTAATTGGAAGATCAGCAGTTCGTTCCGAGACTCCTCCAGTCCGCATTTCAAACTATCCTTTAGCAAGATACTGAACCCCTATTTGCTATTGCATCGGTGTGTGAGTGTGTTAAACCTGAGCAGCAGGTGGCACCTTGCATGGTAGCCTCAGTATGAATGGGTGAATGTGACTTGTAGTGTAAAAAGTGCTTTGAGTGGTCGGAAGACTAGAAAGGCACCATACAAGTGCAGTCTATTTACCATTTACCGTCAACAAACTTACAGAACTCATGCAGCATAATCCAAGTGTCATTTATTTAATCATATGCTCAGTAATATCCAAACATATGCATGTTTGCTAAAACATTACGATTTCAAATGTCAGTGCAAATAGTCTCGTGCGAGGCCGAGAAGTGTGCCTTTGCACAGGCATGCATTTTTACACCGCATAAGCAGATTTCATACACACATGCATGCTACTCATAGGTGTTTTATATTGTAACGTTCTAGCAAAAATGCATGCGTTTGGGAAATACTGAGTGAGTACTGACTGGATAAATAAGACTTGAATTATACTGATTCATGTGTAAGGGTTTGTAAATGAATGTCTTGATATAGTTTTGCTGTTGTGTATTGACAATGAACCTTTTTTTGGATTCTCCATTCACCATGGAAGCACATGAGAAAAACGTCCTCTTCATGAATTCAAGGTAAAACACAAGCTGAGTAACTGATATACAAAAGGTCATTTTGGGTGGTAAAGTACTCCCTTAACATCGACCTTTTTCGAAACTGATGACGTATATGTGAGATTTCTCAATGGACAGAAGCTTTTTTGCCTTTATTAAATATATTTTTAAGTCAGGAGGAATAAATGTTGCATGCATACATTCATGGCATAACCCACCTTTGATGGTACACTGTGTGGTGTCAAAGTGTAACAGAAACACAGATTCTGCCACTGAGTGTCAGGGTTTCAGTGTGACTGATGTGGCCATGTTTCTTGTTTTCATGTTTCTGGCCTAATTGTGGGGGGCTTTAACCCTGTGTTTGATGATTTTCTTTAGTAAAATGTTGGGTTTTTTGCACCTTTTAAACACAAACTGAAAAATTAAAAGATATAAAAATGCTTTAAAGTGGTGTTTTTTGGCTTTAATTCAAAGAGTAAGCATTATTTTTGATTCATTCTCTGACCACATGTTACATTTCTTCTTTTATTTAGATGTTTATTCATTCAGTCATTCATTTTCCATAATTCATTATCCTGTTGGGGGTGGCGCGGGGCTGGAGCCTATCCCAGCTGACATTTGGCAAGAGGTCGGGTACACCCTGGACTGAGGGCCGACACATAGTGACAGACGACCATTCAAACTCACATGCACGCCAATTTAGAGTCACCAGTTAACCTGCATGTCTTTGGACTGTGGGAGGAAGCCGGAGTACCCGGAGAAAACCCACGCTGACACAGGGAGAACATGCAAACTCCACACAGAAGGGCTCTCCCTCCCCAGGGTTCAAACCCCACACCCTGGGATCGAACCAGGAACCCTCTTGCTGTGAGGCGACTATGCTAACCACTGTATACACCATATTAATGTTATATGAATAACTTGTATATTAATGTTATATTTAACACATGCAGTGCTAAAAAAAAATCGACAGTAACTTCCATAACAAAGATTACATCAGGAACTCCTCTCATGTGTCAACAGAGTATTTTTTTCCACAAGAGATTAAATGTTCACTATGTCTGAAGTATGACGACGGGTTTAGCTGCCAGGGTAACGACCTTGAAGCTGCTTTATAAAAATCTTTTTGGCTGACCACTATCTCAGGGGTGAGACCGGACTCCCTCTTTAAACCTCCCTCGCTGGTCTGTATATCATTATTCAAAGTCAGTAATCGCACATAGTAACAGTACAGCTTGAAGAGAGGCGTACACACAAGTAGCAGCTGTGTACTAACAGTACTAATGACCTCCCTCACTTGAAGGTAACAGCGCCTCGAGATTACATCCACCCACAGAGACACACTGACTTTGAAGACCCAACACAGGGAAGGAAATGTGTCTCTGGAGGGGAGTCCTCGCCTCAAAGAACATCAGTGAGCATGTTGTCCATCCTCCCCTCTCCCTCTCGCTCTCCGTCTCCCTCTCTGGTAGCTATCCTTGCCCCATGGTGTTTGAGAGTGGTTTTGAGTGTTTGGCAGGTTAAATTTAGCCTATTGATGTAAGCTGCATTCCATTCACAACAGACACAGAGACACACTCACAGTTTGGCTTTAGTGCCCGGGAGTGTGAAGATCAGGGAAGATCAAACTACCTTACTGTAGGTTGACCCCTGAGCCTCCGTGTCTCCCCTTCAAGGATACAGGTTACACAGTAGGGACACCATCACAGGTACGGAGAAAGCCTCTTCAAGGTGTGTCTTGTGAAATGCGGTTGATTTAATTTTGATTGAACGTTACGTTAGAGCATTTAAGAAAGTGACTGTGTTGTGATAAATAAATAGGAGTCACTTTCTTATGACCTTATGGAAATTTGACAGATTATCAGTTTATCAGATCTGTAGAAATGTATGGCTTTGCTTTCTCTTTAGTTTGCATAGAAATGATTTTAAAAATGTCAGATATAATAGCTGCAAAGCCAGCAGATGGGCACAACTACCAAGTTACTACTTATTAATATTTAGTATTGTACCATGGAGTTTAGTTTTCTGCAGAAAAAAAGTGTGATTGCAGGATGATATTTTAAGCATTATGTGTGATATTTTTGGGCTGGTGGACATTTGGTGTGTCCCGCTAGGCATACAAACCCAGATCACAATATTCACCCTTGACCTTTACGCAGGTGATTTATCTTGTGGCAACATTAATGGGAGATACCACTAACGTTAACTCACATACTCAGATTTGCTTCAGTGGCAAGGACGGATTTAAGAATTACGTGCGTTCTACCGATGCAAGTACAATGGGGCTTTAGGATTACGTAATACATTGTAATCTATTAAACGAAACCTCCTCAGAGAGATGATTGTAACATGACGAATACTGACACGGCAGATTTATTTGACGGGTTGCCCTCCGAATCATCTTTAAATTCCAGTAGATCATGACAGCAAATGGGAGATATACTTAAGACTAACAAAACTATATAATGCTGGTGTATTATGTAACAGAAAACAATACAACAACAATACAGACTGAGAATTTCCCCCCTTACAGCTGATGGAAGACGACTTTACATTCACACACCAAACATCAAACTCTGTGTTTAGCTGTATCCTGTCAACATGTGGACTCGCACTGCACTGATGTTCTTGGGGTTGTACCATTAGGGATTAAAACTCCTCCTTTATGACTCAGGCAGAAAAACCACAGCCTGTGCCCTGTATGTGTTTCCAGTACTCCTGCCAACCTTGCCAAAGCCACAATGTCACAATTCTGTACAATGCCAGCTGAGGAGAGGAAGAAGTGTGCAGCAGCTATTTGCCAAGAAGTCCATGGTACCGATGGTATGATAAGAGCGGACAAACACACTGTTGCAACAGAATATCCATTGTGATCCGGGTTCAAATGTCACGGCTGCACTCCCGCACTTGCCATAAATAAGCTAATGGGGTGATTTACTACCTATGGTGACTAATCTTTTGTCGTTGTCCTTTTCAAAAGTCTATTTCTGGAGAGGGGAGGGAAGTTCTGAGGGCCAACTGTGTGTAGCCGTTTGGATAACGTGACGGTTTGTGACAGCTGGGGTACATACCGTCTGTCGTGGTGGATGAGGAAGCATCACGTCCATCCAAAACTAATTCTCAAGTACAATGATAACTCAGTTTCCATGACAGGGCTTACAAAATGGAAAAGCTGAATTTTCTGACACCTTTGATGTCATTTATGGACCCTCTCTTAAACCTTCAGCTGGCAAACTGATATCAGCGTATATTTATATTGTGTATGCAGCACTTTCCAGCTCTAAAACCAGGGTGGGATTAACCCACTATCCCAACCGTCTGTAACGACTCCAGCACCCTCCCAAGTTAGTTTGTCGTAATTTGATGATACGGAATTTATAGCATCAGCTGATGCATTACAGGCATTAAAGCAAGATTTTTTTGACACAGGACCTTTCTAGAGGACGGCCTAAATATGAGGTTAAAAGGCCATGTTGAGGTGCTCACTCTTTCAGTCTATATTGTGCTTTTGTATTCCCAAACAAATGTGCAATTAAAGCCTAGTGTGTAGGATTTAGTGGCATCTTGCAGTGAGGTTGCAGATTGCAACCAAGCAGCAATCTCTAGGGCTGAAAAATGAAGCCAATGTGGAAATGCCAAAAGCTGCAGTTCCTCAAATGGCCACTTGAGGCTGGCTCCAGAAGCCAGTCAGTTCCCATAGACCCCGATGTTAAAATGTCCAACTTTACAGCAGAAATAAACATGTTTACAGCCTCGTCTCTATAGCTAATTTTCCTCTTTATGATACCTGTATGGTGGATGATTTTTTAATGTAACTCACCTTTTTACACATCCTATTAAGGCTTAAAGTAATGCATTATTAAGGGTGTGGCCTCTTTGAATGACCAGCTGTCTGCAAGGCTTCATCACAAGCTATGAGTCAGATCCACCCCTCGCTCCTCCACAGCTCCACCCTCTCGTCCAAATACCTTCTGGCTCCAAAAACCTAAGGTGGTGATGGCCAAAAAACTGAACTTGAGGATGGCGTCACGTTGGCTATCCGTTATTTTATATTGGCTGTGACTGCAACCAACCCATGTGTCAAGCATGTAGAAGACCTACTGTGGCCAATGTGAAAACACAAATGGCGCTCTATGGAGCCAGTGTTATTTGTTTGTTCTGGGCTACTGTAGAAACAACTACGGACGAGGACCTGCTCCATATGTAGATACATACAGCTCATTCTGAGGTTACGAAAACCCAACAATTCTTATTTTCAGGTGATTTCTAAACTAAGGAAAACGTAGTTATAAATATTATATACCATCCCCCTGAATCCAACACATGGAACCTTTCATCAAATCATCATTCATGCCACACCATAAACTCTGGGACACCCAAAGCAGTTGCCCACCTTTTCCCATTGCTATCAACCCAATAACATCAGTGACAACCCTTTGGATTGGTTATCCTCTTTAAAATTATACCTTAACTAAATGATACATGTTGGCCTTAGTGTTTCAGCAACTGTTAACACACTGACTGATTAACTGATTGATTGGTTGGTTGATTCATTATTGTCTAAGCCTACTAAATCGACACAGATTATTTTCTTTTTCTTTACCTTTATCTTTATGTATATTTTTTTCAACAGGGGACACAATGGATCTCGGAAAGAAGCTCAGCACTCCTAAAGACATTATGCTGGAGGAGTTATCGTTGCTTTCCAACAGAGGTTCCCGGCTTTTCAAAATGCGCCAGAGGAGATCCGAAAAATACACATTTGAAAGTATCCAAAACGAGGCAAAAGCACTGCTGAATGTGAGTCGATTCAATTCTGTCTTCTTGCACATTTTTGATTATCACTATCTGGAGTTCTGGCATCAATGCTGTCTGCAGGAGAAAGTGTAAAATTGTCTGTGTATTACTCATTTAGCAAAATTATCAGGAAATATGCTCTTCAAAAAAAAGTGTTACAACACATGGGTGATAAGAGAGACATGTGCCTCTTGCCTTTTACATCGTCCAGCCAAATAGTTCTGAGAGGCTGTGTAGGCACTTTGCTGAGGAGCTACTCCTCTTTATCAGTGCCTGCTGATGTGTTTCTGTGTCCGTGTGTATGTGCACGCGATGTAGCTATAAGTGTGTGTTTATGCGTGTGTATCAGTGCATGGAGCAGCTATAGATGTGCCAGGTTTACATTTTGTTACGCAACTGGTAACCAAAGCATAATACATGTACTGTGCTTTATTCTGTTTCGCAGAATGACATTTCAACAGAGAATACACACACTGTGGAAATTAAAGTGGATGCACCAGCTGAAGGAAGTACTGAAAATCCAGCAGTCACTGTTACAGGTAATTATAGTGTTAAGCTAGTGAGGCTGCTTATGATGAATCCAACAGAAAACTTTAAAATTTACAATATAAATCAAGATTTAAAGGTCTAGTGTGTGGGATTTAGTGGCATCTAGTGGTGAGGTTGCAGATTGCAATCAACCGAACCTTCTCCCATGTGTCAAGCCTGTGGGGAACTGAAGTGGCTGACACTGAAATGTGAATGGCCCTATCTAGAGCCAGTGTTGGGTTTGTCCATTCTGAGCTACTGTAGAAACAATAGCAGAAGACCTGCTCTGTAAGTAGATTTACACGGCTCGTTCTAAGGTAACAAAAAGACGATGCTTATTTTCAGGACGCTATACACTAATGGAAAAAGTATTACATCCCATTTCTGTCAATTTATCCCCCTACACACTGGACCTTTAAACATTAAAATATCAATCATAATCACGGGTAAAAATAAATGTGCTAACATTATCATCAGACCTGGTCATTGAAAGAATTCCTACTGTATTTCTTCCGCTGTCAAACTGTAAAAACATAAAAAATAAAAACCTAATCTGTTACGCTGCACATTCAAATAATAGTAACTGATTATGTAACGCTGTCATAATAATGACAACTGATATCATACAGTCATAACAGCTGGTCTTGTTTTGTGGCAACAAGCTTGAGTAGACAACATGGATGTAACTCTGATTCGTAACACAACCTGAGCAGCGTTAAATGCTTCATTTTATTTTGTTATATTATATTTTAATAGGCCAGCAGAATCCTGTGCCGATTCTTAAATGCTCCAGTAGGGTGTCATCCCATGTCGACACATTATATGATGAGTACACACTTCAACTATGTGCTATTTTAAGGCCCCAGATCTCAGTGACAGACAACTCAGTCTGCCTGTGTTCTCTAAGCACAGTCTCTATTCATAATCCTATCCACTCTTTAGCCACACCCCATCACCACCACCACTGCCCCCAACCCAGAAAACAGCTCAGCATTAAAGCTGTAACTTTTACTAAAATAACCTTGTCTCGTATTTGCTGAAACTGTCAGTATATCCACACAGCACTAAATGAGACAGATAATCTGTGTAAAGAAATCCTGTCCTTCTGCCTACTCCATTGCTTCATAGCAGAGACGCGTGTTTTATACTGCATGTGAATAAAACAACCAATCCAAGCCGAGGACTCTCTAACGTAGCTGTCAATCATGTCAATCACTGATAGTCAACTGCAGTCATACTGTGTTGCCTATTTTTTGCATCCAGTGTTTCAGAAACATATTTTAGTGCACTGTTTTGCTGTAAAGAGAGAAATTTTGTGACCCGGCAACCATGTTGAAAACCTAGCATTGGCCACCGGCCATAACAAACTCTACCATTTTACAGCTAATGCTTGATTTATGCTTGATGCATCTGTGAGGGTTGGGAGTATCTGCACTGCAAAAGTGATGTCACTCCATTAGACACAGCCCTTCGTGGGTGTTTTGTGCAGTAGGTTTTCACCTGGCCATGCACATCTAACTTTTTCTACCTATGTGGACAGGGAGGGGTGGAGAGCCATGCTGTAGAGATGAGTTTTCGCTACACCACTCCCCACAGTTTGTTAGACAACACATTCTTACTCCGACCTCGTCACATATTGACGTTTGGTCATGGACTTTTCACGGCCACATACGACGTGCAAGGTACGAGGTGCGTTGGTCGATGACGTTCTGGGACACCGCGTCAAGTTCAGCCTGTTACATACATTGTCTTCTTTCCAAACACACGTCCGTTTTCACAGGAAATGTAACATTTACATACAGTCTCTTTCAAAATAAATGCACTGAGTCAGTACAACACCGTGAATTGATGTTTTTTTCCTTCAACAACAAACACATGCGGTTGGGTTCAGTCAACAAAAACACGTGGTTAGGTTTAGGAAAAGAGAACAGGGTTTGGCTTTAGAATCTTATGGGACACAAACACCGCTCTCTTGGGTGAAGGTCGCTGTTTGTTGGACCCAGCCACAACCCCTCCTGCCCACCCCAGTCGGACTTTCACCACCTTAACTTTTGTCCTTGTCCCGCTGCATTTCCCCCTGACACTGCTGAGCACTGTTAAACTATAATGGCAACCGGCCACATATCATGCCAACGTTAAAGGATGCTTTTTTTCATTGGTTTCTGACACTGCAAGTCACTGCCCAAGCACCGAATTTCGACGACTTTGGAGTAAGACACGGCTCTGTTAGAATGTCGGTTTTGCTGTGGGGAGAAACTGCACAGAGCATAAAAGATCCAAACATACCTCGTGTCCTTGCTAAAAGCATAAACAAGCCTTAAACAGTGCACTAGAATATGTTTCTGAAGTCAAGGATCTGCAGTGACAGAATCTTGATTTATGTTTGATCTGTCCAGTCTGACAGTTTAACAGCAGTTCATGGAGTGACTGACATGATTGACAAATGCATTACAGACTCCTTCACTCTGTTTGGTCATTTTCCAACAGCCACAGTAGATTGTAGTGAATGCCAATAGAGGCAGTAGGCAGAAAAGTTACTTGTTGTTTATTTAACCTAAAACCACTGATTTCATGTTGCCTCTCTGTTTCTGTTTGCTCCATGACAGAAGTGACTACAGAGAAGGTAGATGCCTCACCTATGCCAAAGTCCTACCACTCCCCGTGGGATCAGGCAATCCTCAGTAACCCTGACCTCGCCGAAACTCTGAAAGTGACAATGTCAGCACCAGACCCACGACCAGACCTTCCTGAGTACAAATGCTTTAACCGGTGAGAAAACTATGAGCACATTTTAACAAGCAGAGCACAACAAGTAGGCTGCCACTCACACTTGATGTCAATCACAGGGTTGCCACTCCTTTTGGTGGCTTTGAGAAAGCTCCCAAAGGAATCACATTCAAGCTCCCCGTGGTGGACCTGAACCCACCCAGCTTCCCAGAGCTGCAGGAGCCGGGGATGAAGCGACCCACCTTCAACAGGACAGCCCAGGGGTGGATATCTGAGGGCACCCAACTGATCCTACCCACTATTACCCTGGAGCCCATCAAAATCCCAGAGTCTGACGACCTGTAGGTTGCTTACTGTAATCTGGCAACATGATATTGGCTGAAGTGTTCTGGCCCCCACCTGTGATGACAGCAAAACGGTCATTTTGTAGCACAGTTACAATTCCTAACCAATATTTTGGGTTTTTCCCATTCAACGGACACAAAATGTTTCATGCATTTGATGACTAGTGTGTTTCCACTGATACTGAAAGCAAAACTGTAAATTTTATAAATGTTTAGATGAATTGATGAAAATGTAATGTAAATAAAGAATGCAAAGTATTTATTGATGGCACCCAACTGGAACATGCAGTAAGTTGTATTTAGTGCATATCAGTGAGCAGTATTTCAGTTATATCTACTTCAAAAAACTGCATTACAGAAAAATACACACATAAAGTATGATGTTCTTGCTATCCATATATTATCATAAAATCAAATCTTAACCTAAAGGGTAACTTCAGTATTTTGTACCCCTTTTTTCCAAGTTTTTGTATCTGAATGACGAATAGGAGCAAAAACTTTTGAAATTCTTCCAGTAGTGAAAGCGGAAAAACAGGCTGCAATGTAACCACTTGGGGAAACTGTGCACCATCAGTTTACGTCCACTAAAAGAGCTTGTTTTTGCCATTGACAGGCTCAGACTGTTATTCTAAGTGTCTAAACACATAATGGAAAGGATCCTCCTTGTTAAAGAGTAAGATCCATTTTGTTTAACCAGGCACAGCCATGAAATCACCAAATTCACCAGACTCCATTTAAAGTCTACAGACACAAAAAACCTCACAAAAACCATCTTGGTTCATCTCTCCATTGTTCCAAAATCACCACCTCTAGTTTGGTTAAAATAAACCTTTAATTCAACCAGATAGATGTGAAAATACGCTGGCTCTGTGCACTCTAAAATTACTGTTTATTTAAAGAGTCTGGTGGGTTGGTGATGAAGATTTTGGGGCTGTTTCTGATTAAATAAAAAGTTAACAAAAAGCTCAGACTGTTTCGCGGGTGCAGCCCTCTCACTCAATATTGGAACAATTTCAAAAAATGTCGTCCCCATAAGTCACTTAGACACAGAAACATAAGAAAATAGGAAAAGAAAGAAAAGTACTGAAGTTACCCATTAATGTTAGAGCAAGCAACTGTTGAACATACAAATATAAAATATAAATCACTGAAAGTAAAGTAATGTAAAATTCAGCACAAAAACAAGTAATTTATAGATTTATAGAAATAAAATAATGGTTAAGAGCTCTGATTTCTTGTTGACTGCTGAAGAAAAAGAAATTGTTTCAAATTGCAACTGAGAAACATTTTATTCTGAGGAAATAACAGAGGTCATAAGCATGGCATCACTACATCGATCTGGGAGGAAGACTGAGAAAGCTGGACTTTGATCTGCAATGGCATGGAACTGGTACTTTGATTTTTTAGGCAAATACATTTCATAACACACAGATCAATACAAAATGGATATAGCCACGCCTTGTTTGGAGTGGAAGAACACCGAAGAGTAGATTAAAATGTTTGTTCTGCATCGTTTTTAGACACATATGCACTACAAATGCCGACAACAGCAATACTGTGTTAATGTGTTATATTTTGATGTTGAACTCACTGTGTTTCTGAAGAACTTGGCAGAAAACAGTCGCTCTGTGTGCCTTTACTTCCACAGTTTAAGTGTATTGCCTCCTCAAACATACTGTCTATTGTCTCTCTAATGACTAACTCAAAGGTACACTATGCAGGGTTGTTGGTTACCATTTCTAAACACGCTCACCAGAGCAAAGTAAAAGTAAAATCCAACTCCAGATTCACTCTTGCTTGCCATTTTGCCTCACTGTATTTGTGACTTTTCGGCGTTGTGTCTCTTGGATGCCTGCAGCTGGCACAGTCTATCTTTAATACACACCTTTTTTATGCTTCTGAATGTAACTGCACATCCAGTTTAACAAACTCTGTATTTCAGATGACTGGAAAACACAGACGGGGAGAAAATTGAATTCAAGGCCAGTGGGGACTCATGAGCAAACCTAATGCATGAATTTCATTTTCCAAAACCTCAACAATCAAATGAATTTGCATTTCTATTAACACCAAATGGTTTGTGAGTCAAATGTGCAGAGGGGATTTTAATTTTTTTCAGCTGTGTCATTACTGTCACGATAAGAAATGTCCATTTGGATCATTTCAAATGAATTAATACGGCAGCTGTGTTTGTCTCACCCACTCCCTGAAAGATTGAGCTATTTTAAGACTTAACTTTGAGAGAGTCTTATGTAAGCAATGTCACCGCAGTACATGTAGAAGGTGATGTCTCACTTTCATGATAGTGCACAGGTATAGAGGGGAATACGTGTCAGACATCCCAACATGTAAATCCTGTTTGTCTGTGATAGAAATCTAAAAACATGATAATAATAGACCTAACTGAACTCAAGTTACTGTTTAAACTCTGAATGCCCTCGTAGTCACTGATTTATAGTTGCTGAGAGTCTATTTAAGTCACTTTTTTCCCAGAAAGGCTGAACTCCACTCTGGAAACTGAAAAAAGAAAGAACAAAATGGATACAAAGAAAAAAATCCTGACTCCAAAAATAAACTAAAGAACAGTAGAGTTTGACAGCTCATCTGAACAGAGCTCAGCTGTGCAACATTCAGAGGGTGAAATATGAAGCCTAAAATAAAAAATACCAAAAACACCTCACGCGTCTCAAGGGAGGTTTCAGTGCTATTGCTGGAGCCAAGATGGGATCAGAGAAAAGCTATATACAGTTAGACTGTACCATCCCATCGACACATGCTCCACAGTTTTCCCATATATTCACTTCAGTATATAGCGCTGCAGAACATATCAGGACCTGTATGAAAATAATAGTTTCCCTACAGTCGAAGCGTATCACTGAAATAGAGGATGTGCCTGTTAAATATTCACAAACAGATTTCATTCTTGGACTCAAAATAAGCGAGAACTTCTCAGTGTAACAACTAACGACGAGTCAGATACGCTATTTTTCACAGGCTGGCCCACATACTGAAGACACACTCACACACACACTGTAAATTATCTACTAGGATCCACTGTGTGCATTGTATTTCAAGGAGGTGAGAAAAGCAGGAGGTGATCAACATGGCATGTGGCATAAGGATGGTAAACAGTGCGTCATCAAATCACTCATTTTATCCTTGATCTGATTATTTTTGGGAATTTAATTATTGTTGCACTGAATAATGAAGCTTTGGACATTTTGGGCAGACCCACTTAAACAGGGATACTTAATTTGCTTTCCTCAGGGGCCACTTTTGCAAAATGACAGGAGGCCAGGGGTCATTTACTAAACAAACATTAATAATATCTAACGGATAAACAAATGAATAAATGAGGCAAATCCAGTTGCAGCAGCACCACCCAGGTCAAGTGTGTGCAGGGGCGTTTCTAGGATTTGAGGACATTTGGGGCTTAGCCAGTACCTCTGTTAAAATAAATAAATAAATAAAAATAAATAAAGGTCTATTTTGATATTTCTGTGCACTCTGGCAGCTTCTTTACATTTGAAGAACAAAAACACAAAAAATAGAAATTAATTTATTTTCAATGAATTAGAAAACATGGCTGGCGGGGGCGTCAGTGGCTTAGTGTTTAGATCAGGTGCCCCTATGCATAGAGGCCCTGTCCCCTGACTCTCTCTCCCCCCCCTCACACTTGGCTGTCCTATCCATTAAAGGTAAAAAGCCCCCCCAAAAAATCTTTAAAAAAAGAAAATACTCAGTGGGCCACCCTGCAGCATATCACGAGCCAGGTTTGGCCAACGGGCTGTAAATTGAGTATCACAGCACTAAAATTTATGTGGGAAAGAAACAGACACTCCAATCACTGAGTGTCATTTCTGCTGACTGTGGCTTGTGTGCACCATCAGTCGTCCTGTCTTCACTTAAAACCTGCTCAGCTCTGCAGGCTCTCCCTTCCAGGCCTTCCATCTGCCCCGATTTTTGTGAATTGTCCTGTTTACTGCAGTCACAGAGACAGAGATGGTAGATTAAGAATATTATTGCTGTTTGATTGAAAAAAAAAAGCTTAATAGTGAATCAAATGATGAGAAAGAGGATGAAAGCTTCTTTTTTTCAGTGCATGGTAGTTTTGGAATATTTAAACATTTGGTATTTCACCTTTAATCCAGATATAAAACAGTATTCTGTTGTGTTGTTTGACATTTAAGTGAGAGCATTCACAGGAAATAAATAAAAAAAAAAATCACACACAGGCAGGGTTTAGTCCCCACAGTGCTGCATGATTATGAAACCAGTGCAGTCATGTGATGTCTTCTCTCATCATCATCATGACAAGTTGGAAGTCTGACCTTCCGCCAGCACACAGTTTGCCATGCAGGGACTGAAGATTGCAATACAGCAGCAGTGCACTTGAGGCTACACTAGGGGCGGAGTTTGACCTCTCAAGTCTCAAAACATCACTAATCCGCGTCGGACATTCACATGCACAGGCCATCACTGGCCCCGTTTGTGCAGGAAAAAAAGCGGACGATTTTTTTTTTTTTTTTTTTTTTACCGAAATAACACTGTCCCGCCCGGGTGTGTGTGGCAGCAAACAGCGGCTCGGGCTGCAGTCTGTGTGCGTGTCGGAGGGATTGGGAATGCTGCACTATGACAGATAGTGCGTTACATGCGTCTGGACATATCTGCAGTGTTTTCTAGCCAGTTTTATTTGGAGCATTCGGGGAGAAGTGTTGGGGATTTTGCGCGTTGACAGCTGGACCGCCCTGCGCCTTCATTGGAGGCAATCAAGTATCCGCTTCCCTTTAAGGTGAGTCGGCACAGCACTTGTTTTGTTAATGCCTCAATGCAAGTTGCCGCATATTTATGCTACAGTAGCTGACCGGGCGCTGTTCCCATGTATACAGTTCACCGTGGTGCAACGCTGGCAGCGTGTCTCCTGCTGTGGGAGCGCGCTCGACGAGGCTTTAGTTTTTTTTCTAAATGCAGGAAATCTCAGGATGATCATGCAATCCCGTTCAGTAAATGTCCTCTTTATGAACCCGACTGCAAAGATGGGCGCTTATGTCAGACCGTATAGGCCTATACGGGCATCACATGTTGTCAGAGAGGCTGGTGCAGAAACACATGTGGGCACTGACACCAAATACAGCCTTTACAGATGAGTTTACATAATGAAAACGCTGGGTTATTTATAAAATAGGTCATTTAAATGACTGCAATCAGTCATTGCTTGAGCATAGAAATTACACATAAGCCTATTAACAAAATAAAACACAAGATATGCCTGTAAAAGTTTAATATCCGGTTGAAAAATCACAATTTTCGTGTCTTTCTCACCTATTAATCAGAAATACTCCCCTTATGTGTAAAACATTACACATGTCAACAAACCACAGCAGCATCAGATTAAGATAAAAATAATGTAGTCTCCTGTGGGACCTCTGTGCACGTCAGTATAATTAAAAACAAGGCTGCAGTTGTGTGTTTGGATCTTTCAGTGGTGGGGTTACCCTGCTGTTTACATTTGTACTCAAGCCTGTAGCTTAAATTTCATGTAATTGAGTTTCAAAGAAGAGGAGCTTTTGTTTATGTTTGTTATCAGCTCCATAATGCAGCTATTTCTTTTGTTGACACATTATCATATCCACAAAGAGAAAAGAAATAGCTGCGGATCAAAGCTAATATAAATGTAAGCAATGCAGAACCACTTAAGGTTTTATTAGAAAACTGTAATGATAAAGTTATGTAGTTTTTAAAAAAAATGCAATAACTATTATGCTTATTGTTGTTTTGTTCCTTGTCATTCTACCTCGGCAAATAATCTGTCAGCAATGAAGCAGCAACAGGGTTAATTACAAATAAAAACTGCCCTAAAGGTGTCTGAACATCCATAAGCAAGGCAGTAATTATCACATATAGTAGGAGGACATAACCCCCCATTAACTTTCAAATAAGCAAAAAAAAAAAAAAATCCCCCCATACATTGATAAAAAATGATATAAATTATAGCTTTCACAGCCGTCCATGCATGGAAAAGCAGATTTCAAACCACTGTAAAAAATTCACTTATCGAAACAAAAATCTGAAAATAAACATATTGCATCTAGACAGCATGGAGATGTTGGTAATTTATTTTAACAATGATTGATTTGCTTCATAAGTGAAAAACTGATGTTTAAATTTGCCATTTTTACATTGACTCCAATTGTTCACATTAGAGCAAAATTCAAAATGCTGTCAAAAATTCAGTTTTTGAGATAAAATTCTGAAATTTGCCACAAATCATCTACCATGACTCTAGAATTTTGTCATTTTTTCATGAACATTGAAGATTTATCTAGCAAGAACTTGCATGTATATGTTTACAGTACCGTTTACAGTCAAACATTTTGATGCATTTTGATAAATCAAAAATCTGAGAAACGTAGTTTTTGTAGGACAGTCTGAAGATGCTCTGTAGCAAGTTTGGTGTCAATTGAGCAAAAACTGTGGGAGGAGATAGGTTTAAGAAGTTTTACAGTCTTTGGAAAAAAAAACCAGAGTGATGAACTTCATAATTTTTAATAGGTTTAAATGTACAAAGGTTTCTTCAGTATTGGGGCTACAGTTTGATGAAAGTTGTGAAGTTGTAGCAC